TTCCACTGGTATGTCTTCCCTAGTTTGAGATGACAGGGACAGCGGCAGAAAATTCATTGCTCTCAGATTACTAGTCCTGCCCTAGCTAACAAGGGGGTAGATGAAATGTTTCCTGAAAGAAAAAGTAGATGTGGTTCATCAGTAAAACAGTCCATTCCAGGGACCTGGAAAGATCTGAAATTCCTGGAGGAATATCCATCCCCATATTAGCACATACGTTGACAGATGGCGCAGCTTCATATGAATAGGAATTTTAAGTCACTGTCTTCGAGTTGAAAAGATAAACCCCAGGGAGGTTTTGTAGAGCAGCTGATCCTTCATGGACTGGTGCTTGTGGGGATTCTTTCTTTAGGAAGCTAGGACAGTGGTAGCTGTGAGCACCCCAGACAGCACAGCACCTCTCATTCCGTTTAGTAGTTTTCTCTGGAAAAAACACCAAGCAGCAGCAGCTTGCTCCACATAGGAACTGGAAAATAGCTCACCAGACTGGCTGGAGAATTTATAAAATTAGAAAAACAAAGCAGCAAAAGGCCTTGGCTCAACAGCGTTACTTTTAGACTGTCTGTCTCTTTGAAGTAACTAGTCTTGAATCAGTTTAAGAACGTCAGCCAAGACAAACACTCAGGTCCATTTGGGAGCTTTGCTTCAGAGCAGCACATTAATACTCTGTAAGGAGATGCAGGGCATGTAGTGGATGTTTTCTTTATCAGCAGCCCTAATCATCCCAAAACTCTCTTGCTCACTGTTAGCACACCCTCCTGTCAAGACTGCATCAGACATAGATGAGGTGTCTTACACAGTGCTTAGATTTATCCTGCAGAAAACCTGGGATAACTGATCCTCTCCAGAAAATGCACCACACAGAAACACTGGGGTTTTCAGAGGCTGGCCTTGTCCCTGCCTGGCATGCACTATCTATACCAGCAGCAGCTGCTCCAGTTAACGCACCCCTCTTCACTGTAGCCTCCCTGGAGACTAAACAAACCAAAACACTGTTCACAGAAGATGGCCAATAAAAAGGACAGGTATCAAAGGGACTTGCTGACTAGAGCAACCAATCTCAACAGTAACAGCATGTTTAGTTAGGAAAGCCCTTGTCTTTGTACCCCCTTCACGTACTTTCTGTAAGTGTTAGGAGATGAGCCCTGACTCAGACTTGGCTCCTTATTCCTACAGCTGGCCTGACAATGAGTAAATCCTTGCTCTTAGCACAAGAACTAGTTGCACGGCTGGATTATCCATGCTGATTCTTTGCAGTCAGGCAGATATGTGGTCCTACTTAATGTCTGTGCAACTGACTGTGTTTGCTGTTTTTCACCTTCACTGTCAAGAGTAGCAAATAAGGACATGTCTCCTCACAGAATGGAAGTGAAGAAAAAAAACCTGGATACAGTAAAAAATCTATCCAGAGGCTGCCACCTTTTCTGTTGTTATGCATGTAATACACAGGTAGCACTGTAGTGCATTATATTACTTCATATAATAGTGATTGCCACACCACTGCCTGCAGCAGGAACTCTGCATATTAGGCTTCCTCCAAAGCTGTTCTGCATGGGCACATCCCTGTGGTGACTTCTGCAAGAAGGCAGGGCGATAGCAGCTCTGAGTACCTCAGAGATCTGTCCCATTTCCATTAGCAATTCTCTCTGGTAAAGGTATGAATAAACAGCAGCTTGTTCTACCTTGCACAGATGGAGAAAACCATGATTCTCTGTTGCTGCTGCACACCATTCATTCCAAGGTGCCTTTAGGAAGCGGCTGTGCAAGGGAGAGCTCTGTGGTGGCTGCTTCAGAGTTACAAGTCAGTTCCTGCATTGCTTGCTGTAGTTGAGGGTTAGCTGCAGCACCCACTGCTGGGTTAAGCACCACAAAGTTGGAGAAAACAGAGCGAATTTTACCAGCTTCACTTCTGTGCTCAGTTCTGTTCTGCCACATTCTCCTGGGGCTTGTTGCGAGGACACACCACCTTCAGCTAACCAAGTTTCCTGCTTTCTTATTGTCAGTCATAAATCTCACAGCTGCCTCATTTTGGGGTACTCTTCAGAGAGAAAAGAGTGATGTTTGGGCACAAATTCAAAATGAGACAAAGCAGCTTAAACAAAGGCTGGTTTGTGTTTTATTGCTCAGGAAATAGACAAATCTGTCTTCAGCAGAGATCTCATGAGCATTTAAACTTGCCATTTCACAACTGGGAAACACTAATATCACTTGGCATCTTCTTTGTCTGAGGGACTTGGGTGGTTAGAGGGGAGGGGATGATGGCTGTGCTGTAGTGATGTTCACCTTAGGTGACAATGAAATCCTTTTGGACTTTTCCAGCTGGTGTTCCTGGGGACAACCTCCATCTGCAAATGTAGTTTGTTTTTATACCTTGAGTGATAGGAGAACACAAGGTCTGGCCAAGCAGAGGGCTGAGGTAGCAACTTTCTCCGTGCTGGGAGACTCCCACATCAGGACATGTTCTAGGCAAATTCAGCTTCAGCGCCAATGTGCTACCTAAAGAGAAGCAGATTGTGTCCCCCAGTGTTGGTCCACATCAGTCCAAGTGGTCATCTGGGAGAGGGGGTTTCCTTCTCTGGAGAGCAGGTTGAGTCAATATGGAGCACGGAAAGAAGGCTGCAGGCCAAATCCTTGTACGGAACAGACAATGGCAAGTTACACAAGCAATTTCGATGTTTCCAAGCTTGAGTCACTGAACTGGTACTTGACATAATCCAGTGTGAACATACTGCTGGAGGCAAGTCTTTTTGCTGTATTAGTTATTTTCACAAGTTCATTCCTGTTTTAATTCCCTGTAAATCCTGTGGTTCCTTTTTTCCCCCCGCCCCTGAAGGTATTTAATTAAAATAGCAGTTTAAGAGTTAGTGCTGGTTTTGGCATACAGGCCAGACTAGGATTTGAAGCAGATTTATTCTTTCTGCTGGCTATTCTTTCAGGATGGGCAGGACCCAACCTGAAGTTGTTGTCTGATCTTTAGTTGAGAGGACTTTATTAAGGCTCTACTGTTCTGGTCACAAGGAAAACTTCTTTTATATTCTCACTTTTACTATAGTGTAGTAGCTGGGGATTTAGTTTGGAAATTACAGAGTCATGGAAAATTGGGCTGAGAGGGACCTTGTGAGATGGTCTAGTCCATTCCCCTGTCTCAAGGCAGATCATACGCTCCTAAACTGTTTCTAATGAAAGGTCCCCCTAACTTAACCTTAAACCCTCAAATTATGGAGATTCCACAATCTCTTTAGGCAATCTGTTCCAATGTTTTGCTATCCAGAGGATACATGTTCACCCTCAGTTGATTCTGTTTAATACTTCGTTGTGCAGCAAAACTTGAAAGGAGATTGAACACAGGAAAGCAAAACACAGGAAGTAGAAAGGACCTCCAATATTATCAATGCCAATTCCTTACTGTTAGAGGCAACCATGTCAGGTAAAGCCTTCCTGGTATATGTACAGAGCTCAATATTTCAGCTCAACTTGTTGACCTTTCTCCCTAAATGCTCAAAACAAATTCTGCTGAGGACTTCATCTTTCTCAAAGTTAAGAATCTCCTGTAAAGTAGAACCATGAAATCAGAAGAACATTACAAAGCCTGTGAGATACGTTTCTAGGTATATAGTGTGCAGGAAATATTTTTACAAAGTCCCAGAAGATTTGCTTGCTAATAGACGGTGAAATCTCAAAAGTGAAAGGTAGATCCCTCCTGAAAATTACAATTCCTTCTGAAACAGATGATGATACTTCAAAGTTTCCCAAGACAGTGTTTGAGATCTCACACAAAAAAAGTCAGTATTCACCAGGACTGCACAAGATGCTCCTAACTTTCAAGAGAACTTCATCTGAGACAGGATAGTGATATTGGGCTCAGGAAAAAAATAAAATTGTGACTCTTCTAAGAAAAAGTCATAGAAAGTGTGGAAGAAGGAGAGAGGCTGGGTGGAAGTAAAGTCAACACAGAGTTAATGAGAAAAAGTAAGACCAAATTCAGTAGAATTGGAGACCAAATTTTCTGAGCTGAGGATGAGGAAGATGTTAGGTCAGAGCTGGGAGGAGCTCTTAACTTCAGTTATCCCCTAAATGTTTAACATGAAAGACAAACATGACTGTCAGATACGATTGTTCTCATCTTTACCAATGTCGTAACTGATGCTTCAGACGGTATTTGCCAACCCCAATGTATCGAGGTAGCCTTCAAGATACAACCCCATGTGTCAAGGTATCATTGAAGATATGAAATGGCATGAGGTACCTGTGTTTAGGTAGCTGGATTCCACTCCTTATGACACACGACTGAATTTAAACTCCAAAGAAGAAAGCCTTGTGTAATCTTAAATTATGTGAGGTCAGAATCTTTGTCCTTGTCCTGTAGCAGCTGTACCAACTTAGTTGGAAGAGCTTGTAGGTTATAATCATACCCCATGGTGCAGCTATACTAGCAGAACGCAATGGCCCAATGGAAAGGACAACCCTTTCAGACAGGACGTGCTGGAGTACTAAATATTATCAATGACTTCTTAAATTCAAAACTAAAGCAATCCAAACCATCATTGAGATGTAGCTCTCCCAGAAGAAACATTTTTTTCCAATGCTCATAACTCAAAATGAGTCACGCTTGATTAACTTCTCTTGGGCCAGGAGACTAATCATGGGATGCTATTTGTAATTTATTTAAGGAAAGTCAGAGAGAGCATTAGAATAACATTCAGAATGGAAAACATGTTATAACCTTAACATAGTGTCACTGTTATAACGTAATGAAAACAGAGAACTAGGAACCTTCTCTATTAGCAGGTGTTGCCTTTTTTTTTTTTTTGAGTGTGTCTACTCTCCAGTGGAAAAGTTATTAAATACATGTGAGACTCCAATCCAGAGAGCAACTGTCCAGCTCAGTTATTGGTGGGGTAATAGATCAGAAAGTTTCACCTCCTCCTTCTCCTCACAGCTGCCCCGCACACATGCACACACACACAGAGGCCAGGAAACTCTACGCCTATAGCACCTACCTTGGGTTTGAAGGCGATTAATTTCAGGACCATCTCAACAGTGAAGAGGCCAGTGAAGAGCATGTTGAGGATATTCATGGCTTCCTTGAACATGCAGCTCTGACCGTAGTGCTGAAAAATAGCATCCCGGTAGCAGCGTGAGGAACAGACATCAGCTAGTTAGGAATCCACAGGGCCCCTCCTGATCTCCCTTTATGTTGAGGTTCTCTAAAGAAAACCCCAGCACGCTCCATTTTTTCAAATTAGAATTCCCATCTCCCTTCACACATAAGCATTTCCATACCTCCAGCCATTTTTGCCATCTGGCTCTGGATCTCCTATCTTTTTAAAAAAATCTTTTTGAGTAGGGTCTACCAAAATCACACTTATCGTTCCGGTTGAGGGCTCATTGTAAATTTGTATAATGGTACGAGACAGTCTCCAATTGTGTTTGTTATCTCAGCCTTCCCTAACACTTAGATTACTTTTTTGTTTGATTGCTACTGCACAGTGAACAGGGGTTTCACTGAGCTGTTCATAATGGTACCAAGCCATTCCCCAAGTAATTACACTTAATTCAGGATTCTGCAAAGTACACGAGCAGCTCAAATCATATCTTTCCAATATACATTATCTTGCATTTGTCAACTCTGAATTAAATTTGCAATCATGCTACCCATTCACTTAACTTTATTAAGATCTTATGAAGTTACTCTCCATCTTTTATTGATTAATTGAAGTAGTGTCTTCTGCAAATGTTGCCACCTCACTCTTCATATCCCTATTTCCAGATCATTATACTTGAGACTGATTGCACTGCCTTATTCTGAGGTCATCTTCCAGTTCATGTTATAAGACCCCATTTGTAGTTGCTTAGCTTTGATAAACTTTAACCAGCTGGGGTGAATTTTCATATTCTGCATTGACTCAGGGTGATTGATTTAAAGGAGTTTCAGTTAAAACAATTCAGCTGCAGCTGAAAACCAGGCCAGGGAAAAATATATTGTTGAGGCATTTTCAAAATTTCTTGTAACATTTTCCTTGAAAGACTCTAGTGCCTGCAGGACTCTGCTTAAAATCTTGTAAATTTAGTGGAATGTGGCTTTTGTGTTTGCTGTCCATTAAAATTTTTGACCCAAATCTGGCCACAGTATAAGCCATTGAAAAACTATGCTTTTCTCAAGATGGTATAGACTTCTCAGAATCTCCAGAGATGCTGTCCTGCCTGTGGGCTCAGAAACATTTCACAGCTTCTAGCTCTACCTGCCCTGGGCATGTACTAGTGTCACAGGAACTGAGCACACTTCAAAGCTTCAGAGTGAACATAACAGTCCCTCTCTATTGCTTCATGACAGCAGGGCAGTAGATACTTCAGCTGAGAGCAGAGCACTTTCTTGTGCTCATGCTGCCTCACTCCTTTATTGGTACCTTAGGCAAGACAGCAGAGGAAGCATTTTCAGTGGGGACGGGAAAGAGCTAGACCAGATGAAGAAAAAGTAGGGAAGTCAAGAAATCTAGTGAGATTGGACTGGAGACAGTGAGAGAAAATAAGGTGAAAATTGACTGTGAATATAGACTTAGACTGTTAGTGAGTAGTAGGAAAATGAGGCTAGTTTTGGTGGGAGGCTGGTAGTGGGGCAGACTGGGATGGATCCAGTGGAAAATGTAGTGGTGGGATGCTAACGTCAAAAGAAAAGTTGGTGTAGGAGTGAAAGGGGAGTTGGATTCACAGTAAGGGACAAACTAGAGAAGGGAACAAACTGTAGCAGACAATCAAATGGAAAGGGCAGAGAGAGACCAGAAAGGAGGTCCATGGAGGGGTAACCGCAACTGGGAGTCTGTGTAGTGAGGAGAAGAGAAGGACTGGTTGAGGCGTGGGAATCTGAACTGTCTGGGCCACTGACCAGCCAGGGAGGAGAGTTCAGAGACTGACTGGGTGAGGGGGAAGAATGGGTTTTAGGGAGGAAAATGACAGGCAGACTAGCTCTTAAGCAGACAGAGCATAGAAGAGAACAGGGCTTGAGTGGCCAAGGAAACTGGGAGTGCAGAGATAGGCTTAGCAGGTGGAGTCTGGGACCGACTGAAAATGAAAGGGAGGTGAGAAAGGCCTTGGGCAGAGACAGACTGGAAGGAACAAGCCAGGGAAGTACAGACTTGGGGAAATGTACAGACCAGTTTGTGTCTTTGAGGGCCCATCTCCTGACTGAAAGGAGCTAAGACTTCTTTTTTTGTAAGCTGGCTACTTAGTAAAGGTTTTGACTCCTTCCCCTTTACTGCTGTTCCACCTCCACGTGGTGATCTACCATCTCTATTTGCTATTCTTGTAGATCCAGCTGCAAATGTTTCTTTGGTGGATTCACATTAGATGTTTGGAAAACCTTCCCACAGTAACGAAAATGAATGCACAGCACAGCAGGTAGTAAGGCAATCCGTAGCATCAGTAGGCAAACACTTACCAAGAAATGCTTCAGGTGGAGCTGATCCTACCTTTAGGTGATGGGCTAGACAATATGGCCTCTAGAGATCCTTTCTAGACAGTTTCTATGGTTATTAATACAGAATAAAGGAGATACTAGGGCCTTCCTACCCTCTATCCCCAGCTTCCTTGATTGCCTTGTTTGTCAAAATATTTGTTCTGTACTTTTTAACACAGAAAAGCCCCAAATTTAGAATTCAGATTTCAGGTGAGTGGCAGTTCCGGGCTTATTGCTGCATTTCATACAAGACAAGTCAGAATTGAGAAGTCACTTGTTATTATAGTGGCCACTAAATTAGGCTGTGATATAACTGTTGGGTTTTTTCATTTGTTTGTTTTTAAGGACTTAAAACAGAATTGTTGAAAGCATCAGATATTAGCAAGAAGAGGACGAGAGGCAGATTCCTCATTTTAACTAAATGTCATCAGGAGTGAACATGGTACAATGGTTTTTATCATGTCCCTGTCACTCTCCCTCAATACATGGTGTGAAGGTGAAAGTAGGTCTCAGCCTCAGCCGTTTTCCCCAGCAAAGTCTAATAATTCACCACCTGTAAGGTTTTCTCCTTGCTTACTTACTTGCATGGCCAGGCAGATGGTGTTCAGCAGGATCAGAACGAACATCAGGTATTCAAAATAGGTGGAGTTGACCACATACCAAACTTTGTACTGGTACTGGTTTTTAGGAATGTATCTCCTCAGGGGCCGGGCTTTCAGGGCATATTCTACACACTGGCGCTGTGAAAGAGGCAGGGTAGATTTAAAACTTAAACCCAAAATACAGGGTTGGTCAGCTACCTCCAAATCTAATAAAAATAAATGTTTCAAGTTTTTGATTAAAATGAAAATGCTTGGTAGAAGAATTTCTTTCAAGTCATAATCTGAATGTGCAAATTCTACCTGTTGAAGGGTTCCATATGCATTTACTCTGGCCAGACAATGCTGCCATGCTCATCTAATCTCAGTGAACCAAACGGTACAGCACACATTTTAAAGTAAATGTTGTCCCTTGAGCAAGTCTTACAGCAAGAGTTTTTTTTACCTGACTCCTGAAAGATGGCAGTGAAGCCAGCTTATTGTTTTATCTTGTAGCAATCTTCACATGTTCCTCTCTGTATGTGTTTCTTTTTAAAATGCTTATTCTCAATGTATTTTCTACCTTTAGTGGCAACAAGGCGTTGTAAATTACCTGGTTTTTATCCAGCTCACAGTTCTTGTACTCTTGTTCTCCTTGTTCCTGAAATGTGACGATGACGAAACCAACGAAGATGTTCATCATGAAGAAAGCAATGATGATGATGTAGATAATAAAGAAGATGGAGATCTCAACCCTGTGATTATAGATGGGTCCCACATCCTCCATGTGGGAATCAATGGACCTATACAGCAACCTGAAAGCAAACAGGAGCCCAATGCAGAGAAAATCTGCAACTGCCTTGAGGCCTTATAGGTGATGTTATAAAGTTTAACTCTGTGATTTTCTTCTACTTGTATCAAAATTAATTCACTCACAGATGCACAGACTTGCATTGATCTGAGTGTAAACTCTTGCAAAAGAGAAGATAAGGGTCTTACTAAGTTTACACATTTGAACCCGTTCAGGGGTGAAATGTTTTCACAGTTGAACAATTAAAATTTAAAACAAAAGCATGCCCTTCAGTTAACAGAAGACAGGACAGTCTGTTGTTGGAAAATGAGTTTTGTGAGAAAAGGGGATCTCAACACTTTTAACATTTGTTAACGCTGCTGTTGGCATCACCCGGTGACATAGGTGAGGGTCAGCTGCCTGATACCTGGCATGTCCATGTCACTCTGTCAGAGTGGAACTGTGGGAGTCCTCGGCCCCGGTGGCACAGACAGCACAGCCTGATAAGACATCCCATGTCTGCCCGTATGGTAGAGATAGCACTGCTGTGTTTCATATTGCCCTGCTGGCTCCATTGGGAAACTTGCAACACCTAGCAACACTGGTAAGTGCCTGACAGGCATTTTATATCCATTTATATACATAATATTTGTAACAAATATTGCTATCCCTGCTACTACTGGCAATCATTTTTTAAGAGGTAGAGACAGTGCTGTGCACTGTTTACAAGTAGAGGAACAGCAATTCCTGCAGGTCCTGAGGAATTTACAAAGTACATAATACAATGACTGCTGCTACTATTGCTATGTTTAATGCTTTAGACTTATTTGAATACTTAGAATGGGAAAGACTATGCTCTGCATTTTAATTTTCTCTTTTGAAATGAATGAGGACATTACTAGTGTTGCACCGGCCCAAGAAGCACTCACTCTGGCCAGCCCTCAAAGGTTGAGACAGTGAAGAGTGCCATCATGGCAGTCAAGACGTTGTCGAAGTCAAACTTGCTGTTCTCCCAGCTCCGGGGCTGTATCATTGGTTGGTTGACCTCACCATCCTTGTACGTAATGTAGTACCCTCTGTGGATGGAGAGCAGAGAGAGAACATGGCAGAACTGCACTTCCAGTATGAGGCTCGGAGAGTGGGTAGCCAGTGAAGGGAGCTAACTGGGAAAGGTCAGACCCACCTGCATTCTGCTGCTGTCTGCTTGGAGCTATCAGTGCAGCTGTAGAGCTTGCCCTTGAAAAGGAAGAAAGAGGAATGAAGCTTCCTTTCCTGACAGTGCAAGGGTTAGGGCAGATCATGTAGCAAGGAGACTGCATCTACTACTTGCTTAACCAACTATGAGTATGTTTAAATGCTCATTTGCAGGCAGATGTGAGCAAACTGGATTGAGAGTTGCCTGCATCTGGGTAGTTCAGAGCACAGGCTTTCATCTGCTTGCACAGTACTTCTGTGTGTATTTTCTGAGGTGCATGACCACTGAGTGCTGCAGAACACTTGTCAGAAGGGTGGTGAAGGGCAAAGAAATAAAAGCAGACATAAAGAAGTGAATGAATAACCTCCCATAATTATCTGGCATGCCCCTTCCTCTACAAGATGAGGGGTAGACAGCCTGCAAATACCAATCCTTTGGAACAGCCCCCTTCATCTCTCTGGCACTAAGTCATGCCACAAGCTGTTTAGGGAAGAAGGTGATGTTACTGATGATTTCTTATAATTCTAGATGAAGGGCAGGAGCTCTGAATATGCCTGGTCCAGTTTTGGGGAACTGCTGGTAGCAGGAGCCCAGGTAACACTGACAGTGCCCTAAATGTTTTGCCTTTCACACAGAGGACTCCATCTCTCCTTCATCGGGCTTCTTCACACTATTTTTCTTCACACCCCATAATACAGCTCAGTGCAATGGATGAATGAATGGGCTCAATGGTTTTACCTTAAACAACTGAACTCCAATGCAGGCAAACATGAACTGCAGCAAAGTGGTGACAATCACAATGTTTCCGATGGTTCGGATGGCGACAAACACACACTGGACCACATGCTGCAAATGGAAGATAGGAACAAAAGTAACCTGCAGGATTGTTCTGAGCTGCTCTGTCTAAGGGAGAAACCCAAGACTAAAAATACAAATAAAACCATTTCATTTAACTATTGCCCATTAAGTAATGTCTCAGGAAAGGGGAGAGAAAATAAACATGTTACACTCCTCACTGTACTCTTAGAAGCAGGCAGAAAGGGATAGGAAAACACCAGACCTCAGCTCTCTGCAACTTCCAGCAGGACCAGCTTACATAGTTGGGCACCCACCAGCCCACAGGAAGGAGTTTATCTAATACAAAAAGGCTATGTTAAAATAGGCTTGTAAGCCCATCTAGCAAACTACATCATTTAGCCTCAGTGGTGATGCTGGGCCACCCAGCTGGAAAGCACCTTGGCAGAAAAGAACCTGGGGATCCTGGTGGACACCAAGTTGAACATGAGCCCTTGCTACAAAGAAGACAAATGGTATCCTGGGCTGCATTTGGCAAAGCACCTTCAGCAGGTTGAAGGAGATGATCCTTCCCCTCTACTCAGCACTGGTGAGGCCACACCTGGAGTACTAGGTCCAGTTCTGGGCTCCTCAGTACAAGAGAACCATGGATGTACTTGAGGGAGTCCAGCGAAGGGCCACAAAGATGATTAAGGGACTGGAGCATCTCTCCCATGAGGTAAGGCTGAGAGAGCTGGGGCTGTTCAGCCCGGAGAAGAGAAGGCTTGGGGGAATCTTGTCAATGTATATTGACCTGAAGGGAGGGTGCAGAGAAGGCAGAGCCAGGCTCTTTTCAGTGGTGCCCACTGACAGGACAAGACCCAACCGGCACAAACTGAAACACAGGAGGTTCATCTGAATGTTGGGAAACACTTTTTTTACTGTGGGGGTGACTGAGCATTAGAACAGGTTGTCCAGAGAGGTTGTGGTATCTCCTTCCTTGGAGATATTCAAAAGCCATCTGGGCATGGTCCTGGGCAACCTGCTCTCAGTGGCCCTGCTTGAGCAGGGTTGTTAGACAAGACAACCTCCAGAGGTCCCTTCCAACCTCAATCATTCTGTTTTTCTACTGAAACATTACTTGAACCATTGCAAAAGTCCTTGTAGCCTGAAATAACTTGCATTTATAGTTTACAGAATGCATTGGGACTCTTCTAACCTTTAGTCCTTTGGCTCTGTTGATGGCCCTCAGTGGTCTAAGGACTCGCAGAACACGCAGGATCTTCACCACATTGATGGCACTGGACCTGGAAGAAGGTATTGGAAGGTTTGAGAGATAGAGCAATATAGGGACTGTGCTGCAAGGGCAGATGGATTTCACCCACTCTTTCTTGTTTTAAATCCTACATAGCCTTGGACTGCTTAGGATAGTTAGAGAGTCAACTCTTTGCTATGGCACTTCAGGGGTAAGGGAACTACTCTCTGATATTATCTTCATAGGTCTTGCTTCCTGATCTGGGCAGACTCAGTATACATTCTCCTGACTTTCACCATCTGTGCTGTATTAATGAAGGGAATTAAACATGGGCAGGGTATTTTTTTAAGCAGGGCAAGCTGCCAAATGTTCTGTAGATACCTATGATATGGAAATTGTGCCAAGATGTAGTCATCACAGGACATTTGCAGATAAGGCTCACAGAAGCACTTCACTGAAATATTCATAGAAGAGTGGAAACTCCAGGTTAGCCCAGCATTAAAGGTATACTGTCCACCTAGAGTATGATCCTGCAATGTGTTTGGCCTCTGATCCCACAAATCAATTAAACACGTAAATAAATGTAAGGATGTGGAAACTCCCACTGAATTGATTAGGACAACTTATGTACTTAAGTACTGAACACCACTATCTACTACAACAGAGCTCTCTGCATCTTCCAGGACTAAAACCCTGACTGAGAATCTTCTCCATGCTGTATGACACCGAGCCCTCCTACTGATGTTGGAAACAGTTTTTTTGCTAACATATTAAGAGTCTAGATAGGTCTGTAAGAAAGAAACAGCAGGTCAAAACAAGCACTGTGCCATTCTTAAGACCTTGACTGAAAGCCCAAAGGACCTGACAAATCCTTCTGCTTGACTTAGCTCTGGAACATAATATACGCAAGCTGCTAACCTGTAATGGTAACAATTAGGAGCTTATTTCTTATCAGATGTGATACTACTTAGGAAACTCACTATCCAACACATAGAGTTCCACATAGTCAAGTAAATCTATAAACTTATTAAGCAAATTAACAGATCAACCAAGATAAAGTGGTGCAACAGAAGCAGGATCAACTGTCTCTGCCACCACTACTCTGCAGATTCTCACACAGCTCATCAAGTGCTTGATGGTCTTCCATTGACCAAGACCCGCAACATCTTAGGAAGTAGCAAAACATTATCACCCCATTTTCCAAAGAGGTTATGAGACCTCTAGGAGGGAACAGTGACTTAACTGTCCTGAACTGATACAGTGAATCAGAGATCTTGGAACAAAGCTAACTGTCGTGATTGCCAATGGACCACATTTCTTGTTCTCATTTTCTCTTTCTGCAAGACACCCCCTCCAAGTCACTAGTGTAGCATTTCCCAGTTATTACCTCCCCTCTTGAGGATGAATTTTAATGATCTTGAATAATCTGAGAAAAATACCTCCAGGCTCATGAGAAAAATCTTACCCAGATAAGAAAATGAGCCTGAGGTATCACCTCCCAACCTGGCCTTACGATCCCCCCAAAACAGCCAGTTGAAAGTAGCTCACTCACTGGATCCCAAAGGAGATGAGAGAAACGCTGACCACCAGCAGGTCTAAGATGTTGAAATAGTTTCTGCAGAAGGAGCCCTTATGGAGGAAAGCCCCGTATGCGGTCATCTGCAGGAAGGCACATGAAGACACAAACACACTTTGCCATTAGCATCTGTTCAGAAACCAAACCCAGCTGGTTGTGCTCACAGTATAGAATTGGGGAGGGGCAGTATTTCTAACACATCAGACAATTTACCCCCAGACCCCAAAGGAGAACTTGAGTCCCCATTGAAAGAAAAGAGAGCGAAGAAGACAGTAAGATAATTATGAAAGAGCTAACTAGGGAAAGACAATACGAGGTTCAGTGAGGAAAATACGCACTTTGAGTGCATAGAGTACATAACGTTTAGAATCAGCAAAGCAGCAGAATGACTGTTTGCAAAAACTACTCTGCAATCATATGCTTTTCCCCTTTTCTTCAATATCAGAGGACACTTGTGAGTATGATGCTTGTATTATATAAAGGTCTCTTTAGCTAAACTAAATAAAATATATAAAATAAAAAGGGCTCTTTTGTAATGTTTTTCAATGCTTAGGCCAGCTGCAGTGGACAGTTGAGCTCTCTTCCCTCCATGAAGAAAAAACAGAATCCCTCAGAGATTTGATGCTTTAGAGCTGAACTGAAGCAACTGGAGGAATTCCTGCTCTCTTCAGTTTTCTTCTTCTGTTCAGCTCAATCCTGTATCCTTTTCCTATCCCTATCCAGCTTCCTCCATTTTTATTAACGCAGTTGTATTTTCCCCTTGGTTTTCGTCACAAAGCCCAAGGTAAGATTCCTAGAGACAGAGTGGTTTCTTTGTGGAGGTAATCATTATGAACATCACCCAGCAGAGGAAGGGAAAAATTTTACATATTTTACAAGGGACCCTCTGCCCCATCTTGGTCTGAAGGGGTATTGAATACCTGCTGGCTTTGAGGAGGATGTCACAGCTCCAGAACTGGATTAAGTGACAGCGTAAACAGAAATGGATCTTGGCCACAATATCAGACCTAAGCACTTCCAAGCTCAGAATTTGAATTTTAGACTGAGCTCAGTTACAGAATGTGACTAAATGGGTCTGGCACTGTTAGGAGAGTGAGGTGATGGGGGTATTTTTACCACCTACCTTAGACTCAGTGAGTGATCTAATGTAGCTGCTTTGAAGAAACCCCATCCCCACAACTGCTAATGCCCTTCTATTACCTGGGTTAGGAACACAGGGTTCTAAATTTGTTCCTCTGAATCTCATCTAAATTAGGTGTCTAAAGTAACTTGAGGAGACACCATGAGACTGCTCCTCAATGACGAGCTCTAGCCCGACTCACAGCTGAGAAGTGTGAACTAGAAATTCAAACCAGAGTTTTCTGGCTCCTGCTAATACCTCAGGATGGCATACCTGCTAGGGGTTTCCAGCCATGCCTACCTGTGATTATTCAGAGGAGAGTAGAAGGGCACATGGTATATCAGATAATTTTTTTCACCAAACATCCATGACATCAGGGAACTGACTATCAATCAGTCAGACAGAACTTAGAAGGGAGGGAAGTATAAACTCTGATCTTGGCTTAGAATTTATACTTATAAACACATTCAATTGGGGAGGGGGGGACGGGTTCTTGCCATTACAAATGTGGTAAAGGTGTCCTTTACTGGTTAGATTTTGTATGGCAATCTTGAAAGAAAGGAGACACCATTGAAATCAGGAGGGGAAGCTCTGCTGAGTTTAAGTTCTATACAAACTGTGGTTCTCTTAAGCCTGTTGAGAGATTTTGTTACCTCAGAAGAGACCCTCAAAGAGTGTATAATCTACGTCTGCCTCACATCTGGGCCATTGAACAAGCTTTTAGGATGCCAATTAAAAAACCTTGGTGGTCACCTTGCTAACATTCACCAGGCTCCACCATGGCAGTGTGAGGCTTGCAGGTGTCACCAGTAACATGAGGGGGGATGAAGCTTGTTTCTCTCCAGCCTTGGATATCCTATGGCTATTTATTCTCTTGTTTCTTACCATTTACACTAACTTTGCTGTTGTGCAAAACATTGTGCTCAATGCAAGGCAGCAGAGAAACATGCACTGAGAAACCAAGCGACTTGTGAGGCAGGAACTGACAGGATATGAACAGAAGAATTTCTTAAATTCTCCTCTCCCACATGAACCCAGAGAATATCCAGGGATGTTGACATAAACCCACTGAAGTTAAGAGGAGGACGTTGGGAAGGCTCAGGTACTATGCAGTACACTCCCCTGATGAAAACAGCAATATACCAGTAAGTTGGGTTAGGTTCTGCTTCTGCTGAAGTCATGAGGAGTGTTACCATTTGCTTCAGTGGGAGCAGAATTATAAGTTCAAACAGGTGCCTTGAACTATGCTTTTATTTTTAAATGTTGCTGTTGAGATGTTTTCCTTTTTTGACAGGCCTTTTTGATCAGTCATTTGGTATGCGCATGTTCAGAATTATTGTGTAAACACAGATGCACACTGCACACAAGCAGAATATGTACATCTCTTTGGAGAACGTTATGGCTATGGTGATTTTAAGTCATATCAAAAAGCACATTTCTCTACAAAAATATGCAGGGGCCACCCTGCTTGCCAGCCTTCGGTATGGATACTGTTATTAGGGTCTTGAGCTGCAAGATTTGAGCAGCTCTAAGGTATTGCTTGCCAGCACTTAGAACTAGCTTGCTGAGAAAAAAACCCCAAGCTGCCAAATAAGCCTAGCATTTAGAAAGCCAGAACTTTGCTCAATTACTGTTATTTAAATTATTAGCCTACCAATTTGGGAAAATTAGAGTTAAGAACAAGGTAGCCTATTTTTATTTTCTTCTCAGATAAATCATCCTCCTGCACATTTCCTTTGGTATAGAGCACGCTCCTGGGAAACGGGAAGCCAGGTTACAAACCGGCAATGCAGCAATTTTCATTTGCAGCTACAGTCCTTGGTGTTTCAGTGATTTGTACTCTTGGTTATCTCTCCACACCTAAAAAGTGAGCTTCTGCACTGTGCTCCCTGTCTCCGACTTGACTGTGTGCCCTGTAACCTTACAGAAGTCATTGGCCGCCCTCTGGCCTGGCCTTATCATGACTTGTGCAGAACGGAAAACTTCCCTTTGGGTTGTAGCATGTGTAAGAGGAGGTGTATGTGCTCAGGGTTCCTTGCACAGCAAACAAATCCTGTTTTGGAAAGACTGGCCAGGGTAGAGAGAGAGAAATTTATAGGGTGATGGCCTTTTCTTGGTCCCCTCTTGCTTTTCCCAACAGGATCATCCTTTCATTGCAATTCCCCTAAAAAGCATGGTTTTGATACAGGCTCTGAATTACATATTTGAATATAAAAATTTTACAGAAGACTTTTTAAGCAACTACCAAAATGTTAAAATCAAAAGATAAACAATCCTTTGTGTAGAGATAATAATGGGGTTAAAAAAAAAAGAAAGAGCAATAGAGAGAAAGAAAGGAAGAAACAGAGAGAGGAAGGAAGGAAGAAAGGAAGGAAGGGAGAAAGGAAGGAAGGAAGAAAGAAAGGAAGGAAGGAAGAAAGAAAGGAAGGAAGAAAGAAAGGAAGGAAGAAAGAAAGGAAGGAAGAAAGAAAGGAAGGAAGAAAGGAAGGAAGGAAGAAAGGAAGGAAGGAAGAAAGGAAGGAAGGAGAAAATGAGTGTATTGCTCATATTGGTTACCTTAAGAATAATTTCTAATGTAAAGATACTAGTGAAGACATAGTCTGCATTGCCTAGGATCTGAAAAATAAGCACAATTGGGTTAGTGGTACTGAGCGTGACCCAGGAACAAACAGGCGTGTGTGTTAGCAACAGATAGTGGCAGAAAACTAGTAAGCTTGTGAACAAGTAATGGTAGAGAAGATGGGCACTTTACCTTCAGAGCAATTTCAATGGTGAAAATGACAGTAAAAACTATATCAAAATAAAAGAGAATCTGTAAAAACAAAAGGGAATAGGATTGGGGAGGGTAGATCAGTGACTGATCACTTGAATGGGAAATCACAGTTCAAAATCAAATACATATGCATTTTAACAAGGGAACAAGGAGGACTATATAGGAAATGGTTTTGTAACGACGTCCTGTTGAATGCAGTGGAGGTCCTGGCACAGAGGACAAGAAGCACATTACATGAAATCTTTTCCGAGTTACAATCCCATGAGGGCTCTAGAGGCAAAATAACTTTTTGGTTGTTGTTGTAGGACTTACTTTCTTTTTTTTTTTAATTTAAATTTGATAAAGAACAGATGATTCCAGGATTTTCCCAAATAGGCTTCCAAACTGAGAATACAAGGATGCCTGGTCTCTCAGTGGAAAACATGAGATTCCTTCCTATTAACTTCCATTCAGGCTTGTTCTGTGCCTCTCACAAAGCAAGAAAAGCAAACTGCAAATTTATGTTCTAGCTATTTTTTTTCTCTATCCTGATTTGCCCTGGATTAGGATGAATAACAAAGACTCTGCCAATTGAACAGAATCCCAGCTCTTGTATTGCAACCATAATTTGGTCATGTGCCAAAGGTACCTAACTTAGATCTTGCATCTTTCTATTGGCATCCTGGATAACAGGCAAGCTGAAAAACACATCATTCCCATGAACTTAGACCAGGTGATGGGGATACTGGTGGCATACATGGCAGACCACAAAAAGTGTCCCTAGAGTGTCACAGAAGGCAACAGCAAGTCTGGAAGTGTCAAGTGATTTTCAAAGTACATAATTAAGGACAGAAATGTCTTTCACTGCCGATCAATTAACATCCCACAAAAGCAAATGAGAACTTTCTCATTGAATAATGGGACCAGAATTGAACTCTTTGTCTCCAATGTATTCTGCTATCCCAAGCCATTTTAGTGTTATCTACACTACATATGGTGAAAATCAAAAGTATCATGCCCTTGGATTATTGTTTTACCATAACCAAGTTCTAAACTGGAAGGCCAATATATGGAAGCTGAAGAAAACTAACCATTTGTGAAATTTAAACCTTTACTGCTAAAACACTACTAAACATACAGCAGTAAACTGCCCTCTCCCATTCCACAGGTGTTTATTGTATCTCAATGCCTGTACCCTAACTCAGTTTATAGGTGGCTAGATTCTTACAGCTTGGTACGCTATGGGCAGTGGGGTAGCTACTGCAAACTACAGGGTTATTTTAATTTGCGCTCTTTAAGCATGATCCGAATCTGGACTAATCTGCAGACACTGAATGTCAAATGGGGGGATGTATCACTTACTGCTACTGTGTAACTTAAAATTCTTCAGGTCACTGCTCAATTTTTGACCTCAAGTTGTTCTCACTTCTTCAAAGCTGTCTTGGGCTCTATCAATTTTTGCATCATGGAGAATTAAAAAAGGGCCATTTCAGGGATGGACAAATCTCAATTGCATCCTATATTAATTTACACACATTATAACTGGAAATGTCCCCTTGCATTGCTGCCTTGTAGGTCCTGACATTTGGTTATTATATCAATGGAATAATTTTATAATCAATGGGCCAGATTCATGGGTACTCTCAGGCTGTTTTGCATGACACCACCGACATAAAGCAGCCATAAACTTGATTAAAGTGAATGATTAAGCTGTACCTGCAGCTGCTTTACATCACTAGAGCACTGCAAAGCAGCTAGAGCATACTAGTGAATCTGGCCGCAAAGCTGCAGCTAGTAAAGGTGTCCCTTAGAGATGAAATCACATCTAATGAAAATCACTTCTCCACCTGTGCAGGTACTATCATTTATCAGCAGGCATATTTATTATTATCTAAATATGAATTTACTCTAGAATATATTACAATGAATTTGCCAAGGTGCAAACAGGAGAATATTGTGAGCACACAAAGTCTTAGGACCTGCTTGGGCTTTAAGGCTATTTCATCAGACTGGCGATGGACTTCCAAAAACTTGCTGCCTGAGCCCAGTGTGACACAAGAAAGATGCAGCCACTAGCCCGCCTGGACAGAAGCAGTGTCCAAGCCCCTTCACTAGCCCTTGCTGGGCTCTGTGTTCCTGTCTTCCTGCTCTGGGACGGTTTGTGTCAAGAGCAGCACCAGTCTCCATGAGTCCTTGTGCACAGGTTAATGCCTGATTATGTTGTCCCAGAGTGAAGGTAGAGGCAGTTAGTTTGCTTTCAGCTTGCTTGCTTGCTTTCCATCCCAGGCCTCTGTGTGGGCACAGGGCAGGACACAGTCTTACTGTTCTACTGTCAAAGTGTAAAGGCAGACCACATCTGCAACCCAAACATCTTGTCAGTATCCCCTTGTATGATACATTTTAAACATCTGTACCTGCAAAAATTAAACACAGATTTTCATGCAACATCAGTGGCTTCAAATACACAAGACAATGCTTTGCCCCAAGCCTTCAGCTCTTTTATCCAGGACAACCAGCTTTGACTACTTTTTTTTCCTCATTTAGATCTCTCTGCTACAGATTCTGTGGCACCTTCTGTGGCATGTCAGAAGCCCATATGCCAGCTGACATCATGCTGCAGCGCTAATACGTATTGACACATGTTTATCCCTACATGGTGGGCACACTCAGCTGTACACAAGTGGGTCATTGGTGGCACAGGTTTGATTATATTATTTAGTACCCTCCTTCAGGGCAAAATGCAAAGCAGCTCTGAGATAAGCTCAGGAATAAACCTCCATTAACACCTTCTCTATATGCACATATGTGTTTAAATGCATGCTCAGGCCAAGATATTTCAGGGAGGTAGAACACTGAGCATTAAATTAAGGTTTTATTATTAAACAAACAAAAAAATCATCCCACTCTAAGCCTTGCAAGCTCTTCCAGCATAAAGGCACCAAAATGCCACTGCAGACAGCACAGATCAGAAGTCTCACATATGACTGCTGACTCTTCTGATTTCTGCAATGACCCCAGACTAATGGAAGCAACCACTGGCAAAGCTAAGGGAGCACTGAACATTTCATTAAAGGCTAATAAGAATGGTCAGGAAAGAAGGTGAGAATGTATCTCTGTGCTGAATGCCCTCCTTTCCTTCCCCCAGGCTGGTGACAAGAGGAGCACAGCATATTTTCTGAGGGTTATCTCAAATTTAATGATAGCTTTGCAGCTTGCATTCCAACAGTCTGATTCAAACCTTGATTACACCAATTTCCCCCAGAGTGACTGCATCAAACTCAAGAATGTTACTCCTGATTTACACCAGTGTGAACAAAGTAAAAAATCAGGCCCTGGGCTTTTTAGTTCAAAAGAAAGCATGCGGCAGGAGAGCAAATGTTCCAAAGGAAACCTGTAAATACCCCAAATTAGAATTATCTGTATCCCAACCAATGTTTCTACAGCCCACTTCTAATGCCTTAATCCCTGGGAACAATAATTTTGCTTCAGCCTCCTGTCCCTCCTTCCCCTACTCACGCTTCTGAAACGAACTAGAGGCCAAATTCTGCACTGACTCATTTTGCCTGCAAAACCCAATGATTTCACACGCAGCCTACAAAAGGCACAAATTAGGGAAGAGAGTCACTCCCAAAGCCTCTGATGCAGTCTTTTCTGCCTTTCCTGGCTTCAACTCACGATCTGCTTGTACCACACTTTTAATACACAGCGAGGGAAGGAGGATGGGAAGCATACTTGGTTCCTAAAGGAGAGGTGCCGGACGGGGTCCTCAGCTGCCAGGGAGATGCTGCTGAGCAAGATGAAAAATAGGATCAGGTTGGTGAAAATGTTATCATTAACGATTCGATGGCAGTGGACACGAAACCTGCAAGAGAGAGGAGAGGCACAACTTTATCTCTCAGAGAACAGCAAGACCTGGGAAACATTCCCCCCTCCTCTTTTGCCAGCAGGACTGGCCCTGGAGGATTGTTCTGCAGAGCAGCTTCCCTCTGCCCCAGCAACAGGAGAACGATGGGCCCAGGCAGCTGTGCTTGGCCCTGCTGGATGCTGGGCAGCCTCGGCTCTCCATTTCATGCAGCGATGCACACGGCTGCCTGCAAGACTCATGCTCGATGTGTTTGAATGGAGAACAGTCACTCCTTCCTGACAGAGCCCTTTGTGATATAGATATGGTCTGAAACTTATCAACCCCAAATTATATCCCTTGCTTTCATTCACAGAACCATTCGGGAAAGCAGCAGCAGAAGGCTTCAGGGTAGCCAATGTCTTCCTGACCTGGGGCTGGAGTGTCACTGAGCAGGAGCTATGGCGGATCTACCTTGCTAACAGGGCCCAGACCTGACCAAATGGATATAGGGCATGCTGGCATTTGCAAAGGGCTTCTGGGAGGACATCCTGTCACGCAGGGTGTCTGCTAAATGTCAGCCCAACATAAAGTGCTTGGTGCTCTTAGTGGGAAACTAGCAGGTAAAGAAGTAGCAGCCTCCCATCCAACAGCGGTATGCTTACTGGAGACCATTACAGCACCTTCTATACGTTAGCATCAGGATACAAGGAGTTAAACCTCATAACAGTCCTATGCATAATTCTAGAGGCACTTCATTAATCTATTTAGCTCTACTTTTGGCTGTTAAGCCTACGAGCCCCTAATATAGCAATTTTACAGATGACTGCAGAGGTTAATGTACTTCTTCAACAAGTGACAGTGGGTGGGTGGCAAAGCTGGCACTAGAGTCCATGAATCCCAATCATCATCAGTCCCTCCCTGTTGCACATACCCAAGCAGGAGTGGCACAAGCCCTGCTGCAGAAAGACTAGCTTTGAATTCAGCTGTGCCTTTACAACCCTGCCTTACTTCAGGGCTATGTTTGGAGGCCAAGTCTACAAGGAAGATATTGGGATACACGGTAGTCCACAGGCCACTGGGCAGTCAGCTCATTTCTGCACCTTTGGAAAGATATATTGCCCTCTGTCATAGCTCAGCCCTCCACTTACAGTACTGGTCTCACACATCCGTGTTGCAAAGACAAGTGGGACAATGTGAAGCCACATTGCAGGAGCCCAAGGGAAGAGTGAGAGAGAAGAATTATTCTTCTCAGCCTCCCCCTCAGAGCTATGGACTCTCATCCTCCTCCCCCCTTTTCTTCTATGCTTGTTCTTGATGTGTAGGAATGAGCAGAGATACGTGAACTCCCTACTGGGAGTGGATTTTGAGCAGCCATTAGGATAGAAAGCTCCTACCTCACGCTCAACTGATTGCACGATGGCTTGCTTGCAATTTGGACCTGAATATGTTGGGGAATTCCAATTACTGACTTGCCTCCAAGTCCCTTATTTCTGAAGCTTTCATGATTTGTGTCTTCAATCAACCTTGCAGGTGCCATGAACTCCCATTGAATATTGTCAGGGGGCTCCCTACAGTTGTGCTTTCATGAGGATTTCATGCCAGGGCCTTTAAAAGACAGAGTGGTCAAAGGAGGTCTCTGATATGAACTACTGGAAGGGAGCTCTGCACCACGTAACCTTTGGGGCCCAGTGTGAAAGGGGTACCTGCTCTCCGCCTCCTTGTTCCAGGTAAGCAGTCTCTTAAATACCTGTTGTTAGGACTGAAGATGAAAAAAGCACTGGCATCGGGCATGGGCACAGCCTTTTCCTTGAGGTGCAGCTCAGACATTGGGCGAGGCCGAGGGCCGACAGGCATCTCAGGTTCTTCCTCATCTTCCTCTGCTGCAAGAAACATTTTTGTCTTTTAATGCAAAATAAAACCCATTCTGGAGTGCTGGGGCATTTGTCTCTGTCATAACTAGAGATAAAAACTAAGAATCATTGAAGTAGAATGATGAAAGCTTGAAGTTCCTCGTCCACTTGCTTTCTCCAAGGCAGCATCTGCTGCCCGGCGCTCTCCCTGGCAGACATTGGTCTAGTCTTTGTGTAAAACCATCAATGCTGGTAAACCCACAATATCCTCAACAACAGCCTCCTCAGATCCTTCACTGTCCCTTCTGCAAAAAAAATTTCTTCTAATGGCTGACTTGAACCTTTCTTGCTATGGTCTAAATCCATTATCTATTTTCCATGGACACAGAAAACAGAGAATTCCCTTCCTCTTGCAGAAGGCTATTATATACTTAAGGACCATTATTATGCCTCTGCGAGGATTTCTGGTTCCTAAAGCAAAACAGCAACAGTCTTTCCTGAGGTGCTGTGTTCCCTAGGTCTCTGATCATTCTTGCTGCTTTCCTCCAGATTATCTGTAGGATTAACCTGCAGTTGAGGTTTTAGTGGTGCTGAGGAGAGCTGGATTACTTCTTATATTTTATAATACTATCTTCCTGTTTAAATGTCCTTCATGGGCACTTCTTTTCATTACACTCTGGCATTAGTTTGCCACCAGTTTCTGATTTGCACAAAGCACAAATTATTTATGACAGAATGGCTGCTTAGCCTGTCACTGCCCCCTCTGCATTTGTGCTGCTGACTATTCCCAAGAGTGGCACTTTGACCTCATCCTTATTGAACTGCATCTTATTTTCTTCAGACCATTCCTCCAATTTATCAAGATCTGTTTTTCTCCTCTTTGTAAGGCTCTCCATGGAGCCACTGCCACATCTGGGATTGTGTCTGGATGAGTGTGCATATGGCACAGAGCAAACATGGAGCATGGGCACCTTGACTTACACCAATCAGAAATTCTTAAAATTGTGTCTTTTCATAATTCAGTGGGGGGAAGATTGAAAGGGCAGGAGCAAGGCTGCAACTCTCGAACCTGATGCCTATGGAGCAGATCTCCAGGCACTGTGCAGATCAGTGAGCACCCTCAAGGAAAAAAATGCAGAGATGGGGACTAAGTGGTATGTGAAAGAGAACCCTCTACCTTTGAGGATTTCTTCTACCTGCTGAAGTCAGATGCTGTTTTGTAAATGACATGACAGTATTTTTCTCTTTTAAAGATCCTAATCTTCTAACTTAACCAGATAGACAGGAAAAAATATTTTTAAGAAGGGAGCCTGACATGTTAGATGCAACTGATTTATCTTCCAGCCAATGCAAAGGAGGAAACTCTAGTTAAAACGTTTATATTAAGTCCATAAAGTGAGATAAATTCCAGGAAGAGCCTGTTCCTTTAGGGTCAGGTACTGTACTTGATCTAGTAATGGACACATCAGAAAGAACAGATGAATCAGCAGAGATCCTAATCTTGATGTCAGAGACAGGAGAAAAGTGGCCTTTTCAAGGCATGCCATTATTGCATGCAAATAGGATTCTTTCTTTACACTTCTAGTAGCAAGAGTTCAGCTCAAATTCACTTGATAGATTTTTGCATAAATGTTTGAGCTGGTACATAGAGTTTGTACTTTTTAAGCCAGTCTATTTTTTAACAGCTCAATTTTATATTGTAATATACTTTATAATACTCTTTCTACAGTCTTTATTAATTAAAGAAACATTCTTTCAGAAATACTTTTGTGCATGGTACTGGTAAAATGAGTTAATGCTCATATTTATTTAATATTAAAATACTTTGCACTGGCATCTTTTATCTACAGATTTCAGAGTGGGCTGACAACGAGCGAAGTAAGCAAACTCTTTTTCTTCTTTAACAGTCCAGAATACCGATGCCCATGATCACATGATATTTGAGAGCTCTTACTTAAAAAGTCTAGTATTCTGAGTACCTGTTCTGTGCCTTCACTTTTTCTTTTAGTCAGAGGAATGCTTAAAAAAACACTTTGAAATGGGTATGGAACAATGCCTCAGGAAAATGGACTCTTAGCAGAAGGATCAGCCCCGTGAATACCATAAAGAACATTGTTCCTCACCTCTTTTTCTTGTGTCTGCCATACAGCAAGAAATATATTAATGATTCTGGCGACCACATACCTTCAGACTAGAAAACACATTCAGTTCCTCAGCCATAGATAAAGAATAATGTTCTAAATATTTTTCATTTAAAGTAGGGTCTAGGGCACAGAAGAAAGGAAACCCTGAGGCGCAAATACACAAAGAATAATATGATTACAGCCTCAGCTCAGGTCACTACCTAAGCTATCTACCTGCATATAGAAACAGTAGGTTGCACAGTTGCTAGCATTCGAAGAAGCAAAGGTCAACATGGTATTCACAGATGGGCTGGGCAGGACACCAGCTGCAATCCAACACTTGTTCTTTGACTGTTTTCTATATCTAAGGTATTTTAATGTTTAGAAAGTGACCCTTCTAGTCAAGCTTGCCATGAAATCATAAAGAAACATGACTCAGAGCTGCCAAGTTCAGAACTAGGTTTGAACTCTCCTGAAGTTCAAGGAAATTCAAATCTGGGACTGTCATCTTAAATTATGCTTCATTAGGATAGTGATGTCCTTTGGTTGTGAAGCCAAAAGCACACACAGGCTACAGTGCAGCATCAGTGAGAAATTCAATGAAGAGGATTTTTTTTTTTTTTTACTGTACAAACACCAGAACTCTTGTGTAAGGACATTGCTTTGCTTCAAGCTCCCATGAATCATCCCAAGCTTTTACCTCCCTCTGACATTCTGAATTCTTCGTCTGTTTCTGTACTAGACTGCAAGACTAGCTCCCTGTCTTCCTATAACAAACATATCATCATAATAATCCTTCTAGTGTACACAAATCTCTGGAAGAACTAGTCTCTCCTTCCAACAAAGAGGATAGGTGATCTGATGAGCTGCAAGTACACAGAGTATTCCTGGGGCTAAAAGCAACACTGTGTAGCAAATAGAGTCAGAAGATATTCTTGAGAAAACTGGTTGAGGCAGTGGAAACAAATAGGAGATTGAGCGCGGTATGTTGAAAGAATAAAGGGAAAACAAATGAAGCCACCATTTCAAGTTGTTTCTGAACACTGGGTTAGGGTGAAGGATGTTTTCAGAGGATGGAATCGTACACTGCCATGGAAAGGTCACAGGCATTAACAGCTTAAATCATAAACAGAAAATAAGTAGAACCAGTTGACTGCATCTAAGAAGCAACAGCATGCTTCACTCAAAGCACATCTGAAATGGATCCACATGCAAGTGGGCAAGAAAAGATGTGTTCTCAGATGGGCCCTATATGGCTGCATGGCATCTCCTGTACCACAGCTGCACCGATCAGCAATCGGCAGAAGGATTCTGGACTGGTCAGATGGCCACAAGGCAATTGGGCAGGGCTACATGTGGGGATTGGGAAATTCTTGCTTATTAATGCTGTGGAAACCCTTTGGGCCTTGTTCCCCAAAACTGACTACACAAGGCAGATGTGACATGCCACATCAGCTCAGAGGGCCTTGGTGTTTCTAAGATTTATACAGCAGAATGGAGTAGATGACCACGGTAAATCTGATCTAACAAGGGATTTACAAAACTTTACTGCCTCTGAGCCTTATGGTCGACTTCCATGAACTCTAAAAGAAGTGGTCAGGTAATTTTGTGAGCTGTTAGAGATCAGCTTCACTCTTCACAAAGAATTGATAAACAATTCGGGGAATAGGCCTGTTTAGAAATGGCATCATACAATACCAAATAACCAAAATGCTGTCCCTTTGCATTTCTAATAGGAGACAGGAGAAAACCTGACCATCCATTCAAATTTTAGGTTCTGTTCAAAAGTACGCCAAGCCAGGGATTGGCACCCCAAGGCAGGAGTTAAAAGTGTTTGTACTTAATTTTCTGCACTCTAATCCTATGCACAGCTGCAGATAAAACATCTATGACACAAATTGTAGATGTAGTTTTTGTCAAATAGTTCACATGCCAGACTATTTCTAAGCTATCCACAGAAGGTAACTAAAACACAATTCTATTATCAGTAGGCTTAAATTTGATATACAGGTGACTGTACCTTCACGTGAAAAAAATGTAATGGTCTGCAAATCCAAGCCAGCTGAGAAACAGAAACAGAACTGTATCAAGCTGTTTTAATTTGTTCTTCTGTCTAAAGACTCCCACAAGCCCCTTAGCAACCGGGGATGTGTGTCCAGTAAGTGCCTGTGCCTATAGATGTGCTGGGAAGATTAAAGCCAGAGTGATCTGCTCCAGGCAATGTTAAAACAGTATTGCATGGTGTTGGAACCATACTCTATTCCTGATAAATGGGTTATAAATATTGATGAATACAAGTATAGCAAATGTGGGGATTTTTTGTACTGAACATCAAATGCAATGGACAGTTTTCCTTTTTGCTTGTCTGAAACACTTTGTCCATCTATTTAAAATGAACTATTGTGCCTTTTTTTACCCTATCACACCAACCTATTATCAGACATTTATTAGGAATCATGGAATAGAAGAGAATGTGGTTTATTACCTATTACAGCCTGTTACATAATCACAGAAACGCAGAAGAGCAGAGCAGGAAAGGATCACAAAAGGCCCTCTAGTTCATGCCTCTGCTAAGACAGGATCAACTAATTATTATACCTAAGTATTTTCTGGCAGATGTTTTTCTGACCTGTTCCTAACAACATTCAGTAATGCTGGGCTTCCACAACCATCTTCATGATCTTTTCTAGCCTCACCATTAGAAAATTCTCCCCTGGTGTGAATCTTAAATCTGTTACTTCTTCATAATGGAGATAATACCCCTCCTACCTGTAACAGGCTTTTATGCATTTGAAGATGTTTCTCCTACCTTTCCTAGCTCAAACGACCAAAATTCTTTGAATCTTAGTTGTTGCTTCCTACTAGCATTGTTTTCACCATGCTCTTCTACACTTCTTCCAGTTCAGCCCCACTTCTAAGCAGAGCACCCAAAATGAGATGTGATATCCCAGCTGAGACCTTATCAATGGTGAACAGAATAAAACAATTGCTTTGCTCTGATTAGCTTTCACTGGCCAGTTAGAAGAAACCCGTAACTGGACTAAAGGGTCATGTTTTCACTGTTTATAAATCTCACTACTTGCTTGCCCTTTGAAAGACAGCAAAATGTTGTTGGCACCTGTCGAGCTTGTGATTACAAGATTCAGATTCTTTTCTCAAGGACTGTTACCTAACTAGCTGTCACCTAAGATCCTTTATTTGTGAGTTGTTTATTCCTGTCTATGTGTAGAGCCTGGCACTTTCAATTTTATTTAGACCATTTATCCAGTTTCTCAAGAGCTCTTTGAATTCTAATGCTGCCCTCCAGCATGCTTCCCGTCCTTCCTAGCTTTATGTCATCTGCAAATGTAATAAGCATATTTCCTCTTCCATCATTCAGGTCATTAACAATGAACTGAACTGAACTCGGGACAGACTCTTGGGTTGTAGAACCTCACTTGGGCCATCACTACTCTCCACATAAAGGGTCTGACCAATTTCTCTCTCAATCATCTAGACTGTGTTTTTCCAGCTGGCTTATGAGAATGTTATAAGAGACAGTCAGAAGCCCTAGCAAAGCTAAAGAATATGACATCTACTTCTTTTCTCCTGTCTACAAGTCTTGTCAGCCCCTTTTAGAAGAAAATAAGGGTAGTTTGACGTGATTTGTTCTTGGCAAATCTATGTTGGCTGCTAGTCATCTCCTTATCTTGCAGTCATATAGTTTGTTTAGTCATTTGTTCCAGCACTTTTCCAAGAATGGAAGTTGAACTGACTAGCTTATAATTCTTCTGCTCGAACCCCACCTCCCATTCAGGATCTCTTGAAGAAAAACTCCTTGAAGTTCTGAGATTTCTTCAACCAATGTTTTAATTATCTGAGGATGAAGTTAACTAGGTCCAACTGACTTGAAAACTAGCCTAACTAATGCTCTAGCTTGTTTTTTTCCAATTCTAGGCTGAGATCTTATGCCTTTAGAGTTATGTTAATAAGTCACACTGTCCTTTTTGATTAGACAAAAGTGCAAAAAGGCATTCAGCACTATGACTTTCATGAGTATCTGTTGTGAGTCTCCTTTGATCACTAAGGACTGAAAAAATAAACTGAAAAAAAAGTCATACATACATTTTCATATACAGAGATTTGTATATGATTTGATTTGGTTCTCTGTAAGGTTCTGTATTTCGAAACACAAAGTCAAATACAGAGCTTTACAGAGAACCAAATCAAATACAACTAATCAGTATAGGGACTGCAAAGGACCAAGTCCACACCTGTGCAAACACAGGCAAGTACATCATCCTGTCCTGTCATGAAAGCATTATGTGTTCAGCATTGTTATGGTTTAATCCCAGCCAGCAACTAAGCACCACGCAGCCACTCACTCACTCCCCCCCCCATCCAGTGGGATGGGGGAGAAAATTGGGAAAAGAAGTAAAACTCCTGGGTTGAGATAAGAACGGTTTAATAGAACAGAAAAGAAGAAACTAATAATGATAATGATAACACTAATAAAATGACAAACAGTAATAATAAAAGGATTAGAATGTACAAATGATGCGCAGGGCAATTGCTCACCACCCGCCGACCGACACCCAGCCAGTCCCCGAGTGGCCATTCCCTGTCCCCCACTTCCCAGTTCCTAAACTAGATGGGATGTCCCATGGTATGGAATACACTGTTGGCCAGTTTGGGTCAGGTGCCCTGGCTCGGCATGAGAAGCTGAAAAATCCTTGACTATAGTCTAAACACTACTGAGCAACAACTGAAAACATCAGTGTTATCAACATTCTTCACATACTGAACTCAAAACATAGCACTGTACCAGCTACTAGGAAGACAGTTAACTCTATCCCAGCTGAAACCAGGACAAGCATACATGCTAACACAATTTGGCTTTATGTGCATTAGCAACTGGAGCTTTGTCAAATCAGGGGTAAGAGGAAGAAAGTATATACCTGGTGCTTCTGTTGTGGGATATGGGCTCTTTTCTTCATTTTCATTGGGCTGATAATCATCCACGTTGATCTGACAGAAATGGAAGGAGAAGCAGCAAAGCCTTTGTCAGACAAGCCAGAGGGTTTTCATTCCCTCAGAAACCCAAGCTGTTCATGCCATCACTGCACAGAGTGTGCTGGCTGGCAGCAGACCTTACCTTGGTAGCAGGCGGGGATTCTCCATCAGCAGTGATTGATTTCAGTTCAATTTTCTCCTCCTTTGTCTCCTCCTCCACGGCTGTTTTTTCCATCTCCTGTTTCTTTTCGGGACTAGCAGTCCTAACAATTTTACAAGTTAAAAAGCAAAGAGTTACAAAGGTGGAAAGCTGTTTCCCTTTCAGGAACTTCATGTAGTACAGCGCACACCGTGAGAACGATCGGCTGGCTGGTACCTCCATTCTGAGTCCAGCTTACATACCAGCGGCTCTACCATGTCCTCATCTGCAGGCAAAGGCAGAGACTCTGCTCTAATTCTGTATACCATCCTTTTATTTTATAGCTTTCTCAATGGCATGTGTTTGTGTGTGTGCATGCGCATGTGGGGGAAGTACGTGCCTGTGCGTTTGTGCACACGAGTATTCTAGATCTGTCAGTAGAGATCTCTTTGTTCACCCAATGAGAAAGGCATGAACCATTTTCAAGCCATATCTTGTGGACTTCTGCTAGGTTGCCTGCAAAGTTTAGCCCCTCGCTGCACTCCCAGAGCCAGGGAAACCTGCTGACTCTCATGCAGGACAAAGCAGAAAGATCTGCACAAGAGATCCCCTCCAAGCAGTCTGGAAGACAGTGAATAGAAATAACCAGTTAAGGAGAGGCTTCCCCGCTGTTGGCAGCTGGTAATGACAGAGAAGCTCTACATCCAGCTCGTGCTTCCTAAGTTTGCAGAAAAAAGAGAAGAACAGCATGTGGCCTCAAAAGAGAAGGAAGCTGCTGAATCTTGTCATGGCAACAATAGTCGGAAAACATGCCTTGTGGTCCAAAGCAATGGGAAGGTAATAGGGAGATTCAAACAGGATTGTAACATTGACACCATATCCCACTCATTCTCTGCTGATGCCCTGAAAGTTCATCAGTCACTCAGACTTCCTTTCCTCTGCTCACATCGTTGCAACTGTGGGGACTCCCAGCTCATGACACCTTCCTGTCCTTTAGTTTGAATTCTTTTACATAAAAAATTACATATACCTAATAATATATATAACTATATTAATCACATATATATAATCTATACACACCTACAGAGGAGTTATGCATATATATTACATATACACACATACTTACTTGCACATATATATGTACATAATGTGTGTAAATATGCTCACAGGAATGCATGCATATGAGTGTAGATAGGTGTATGCAAATGGATTTACCTAGCTAGCTTTTTCCTTTCTTTTTCCTCTTCCTCCTCTTTCTGTGCAGATGTTAAACTCTCAGCATCAGCAAGGTTGTCCACAGCAATGGCCAAAAATACATTCAGCAGGATATCTGTTTGTGTGCTACTCAAAGAAAATGGGCTTTGGAAACTGCAGAACAACATTATACTAAAGGTTTCTTAATTGAAAATTTTTAGCAACTTGTCATCAGATTTCTTGGATTTTCCAAACTTCCATTTCACACAAATGTTCAGGATGTGCATATCCAGCATCTACAAACCTACACCTTCCATCCAAATGGGTAACACATTGTGTGAGGTTTCCAAAATTTCACAGCAGAATGACTGATATAAAACATCTAGGTCCAAACTTATATTTTAGTTTCTGATTTCCCCAAAGGGTCTCGCTTTGTGCAACAAATCCCACTGAAGATAAGGGAAGTGCTGAACACTTTGCATCTTTGACAGCTTAGGTCACTTTTATTAAAGCACTCTTATTTTCAAGAGTCTCATACCATAAGGCACCTGGGCTTTCCAGTTTTGGCCTACTTACTTGAGTTGAACAACCTCATTATAGGTATTCCCACAGACATGAGTGGATTTTATGGACAGCAAACATAGCACTTTCATTAGCATTTCTGAGGCAACCAAAAAGAAATTCATTTAGTCTGGGCACTGAAAGTTGAGCTGACAACTCTGCCATCTCCTAGCAGAGGGTCCATGCATGGCCAGTTGTGCCCATGTAGCTGAAGGGCAAGGAATCACAACTGTTTTCTTGTCTTGCCAGTCAGTGTTCAGACCTCATGTTACAAATCTGAGCATCAGCTTCCTTCATAAATTTCTTGAGAGTGGGTCTTATTCTACCATAATAACTTTTAAGTAAACCTCAGTGCAAGGCTTAATCTAGAAATACAGCCACCCCCCTCCCTGGGCTCCAGGGTCTAATGGCTCCAAAGTCAGCCAGCATGTAGAGCTGGCTCACATTTTCCTCTGCAGTTCACACGGAGATCCAAATTGTAGCTTTTTTAAGCTGTTAGGCAGACTGCCTGCCTTGACCTTCAGATAAGTGGAATTGCACCATCTCACTTTGAAGAGAGGGCATGGGTCAACTGAAATGTCAGATAACAGGGTTTGAGAGATCTGAATTATGAGGAAAGGCTGGAAGAGCTGGGCTGAGACTACAAGGTGGCTTTATAGAAGAATCAATATAAAAAGAAATGTCACCTCTGACATAGGAGGGCCATCTATTAGGGAAGCAGAAACTAAACATGAACAAATTTGGAGCAAACTGAGATATGGAACAGAACCATAGCTCTGTGTTATATGCAAATTCCTGTGAAAAGACACTCACAGCCTAATCATGCAATGTGCTTTGTACCTCCTGGGATATGTACAGTGCCCTCACTTCACCTTGAAGCCAGAGAGAACTGAAGTTACTTAACACCAGCACAGGCTGGAAGATAACAGAGCACACGACTTTCTGTTTGAAGAATACACAAATTGCAGTAACTGAAATGGAACACGGTTCCTGTTAGTTTATACATGAATTAATATATGATCTCACCTAAATCAATTATGTCAAACATATGTTACTGCTATTACAGCATTTGTATATAGCATATTGTAGATTATACATATTTTTTATTCCACATAAGGCTTGCATGAAAGCACATGGAATATGTTACTGAAAAGGCAATTAAAGCAAAAATATGCAGTAAGTACAGTAGGTACACACAGAGATTGATTTCTGGAGAAGGCAGGAAAGAAAAACCTATGAGAGAATTAAGGGGAATGTAAAATAAAACCACTAAACATGTAAAGATACTAAATAAAAGCTAGCATGTGGAACTGGCAAGTAGCTGGCTCTCACAACTGTTTATATACCTTAGCACTAGCTAAAATTAAATAAACTTGTTTAACTTTTGGAAGTGCAAAGCCAAAATTCAGACCTAGGGAGAAGGTAAAATTGTAAGGTACATTCTGACATAACAAAGTAGTAAAGGGTGGCTTTAAATTCAGCCCCAATTGGAGAAAAGAGTAGCATCAAAGGATACAGTTTCCACAGATGAAGAGGATGATGAAGTAAATACAGACCAACATTCCTGGAAAAGAGGGGCCGCCATAAGCCATGATCCCATCATACATCACCGAATTCCAGTCCTCCCCAGTCAGGATCTAAATGACACATTCCCACCAATAAGGGATACAGTGTTAGACCACACAGAGAATTTGAAAACCCCATTAACACAAAGATATCTACTGTCCTAGAGAACACCCCCTCCCCCAGGATGTCCGGAGACTCTGGCTGTGTCCATCTAGAAAATGAAAAAAAAAACCAACCAAACCCCCCAAAACCCCCCAGAACAAGGAGAATGCAAAGAGGGCCTGTGCTCAAAGTGTAAAAAAACCCCAGATGTCCCCTTGAAGATGATGGCTGAAGCCAAATGGCTCTCCCAGACAACTCTGTTCAAGTCTCCCCACCTCTCCCAGTCATTTCCCTCCCACATGTTTGTTGTTTCAGACAAGCTGCATAACCTATAGCACTGAAGACAGCCCTCAGCACAGCCCTCCCTGCCACTTCCCTTCACCTTGCACATGAAATCATGATCCTGATGCTCTTGGTTGATCACTTCCCAAACTGCAGTCAGCTTAAAGGCCATTTGATTAATTCTCTGGTGCCGCGAGCAGATATTTGTTCCCCAGTAGCGTGGGAGGGGGAAGGACAGCTGCAGCATTGGGGTTTGGCATGCAGGTGCTGCCCTGGGACATGGCAATGGCCATTCTCTTGTCCTACCCTGCTAAGACCTGGTGGCTTTAGCTTTGGTTCCCCACTTTGGAGGGAATACTCCTGTGCTGGCAGCACAGTGTGGCACCTTGCTCCTGACGCTGTTAGCCTGATGTCCAGTCTTGGGACTGTCAGGCTGCAGGGGAAGGGTGCAGGACCTGCTCTCTGTCTCACCCCGTGTAAACACAGTGTGTTGGCCCCATTGGGATCACTCTTGCTCTTACCTGAAACACAGTGAGGAGGGACTGGGGGAAGTTGTCGAATGTACTCCTCCTGGTCTGCATCTCATCGAAGTTAAACTTGCCCCCAAAGAGCTGCATCCCCAGGAGTGAGAAGATGATAATGAAGAGGAAGAGAAGCAGCAACAGGGAGGCAATGGAGCGCACTGAATTCAGGAGCGAAGCCACAAGGTTACTCAGGGAGTTCCAGTATCTGGGAGAGAAAATAGAGACAGTTAAATTTCCTTCAATCCAAGACAGGTGCTCATGGACTGCACAGGATATTGGCTCCGGCTGCCTTCTGCGTATAAGCAGGCATTTCCAGACACCCTGTTAAGCAGTGAATCATTGATGTGCTTCCCTAAGATAATGAGACCTACTGCAGCTAATGAGTAATTTTACTACCACACGTGTACATACACAATTCCCTCCACCCCCCACCCCATATGCACACCCAGAAGATTATTGCAGCAGTCTCCATCTAAGGCTCTGCAAATCTTCTATCAATATACGGTGATTAGTTCTTGCTGCTTCAGTGAGTTACATTCTAACCAACCTCATTACAACACTCACAGATGTTATGGCAGCCAGAATACCTCACTCCAGAGAATGGCCTGTAATAACTAACAAGAGCAGATGGGGAAACAGTTTGGATGCAAATACAAACTTGTCCAAAATCTGGTGTGTGTGAGTATGTGCTTGGGCTCACTCACAGATAGAGGTTGCTAAGCTTTCTGGAATTGAAAGAAATGAGAAAGATATTAAAGGTCATTTTACATGGACCCTAAAAGAAGCTCCAGATCTACATCCATAAAGTCCAGAGTTTCTTTTGCTCTTGGAAGAGCACATCATCACTGCTTTTTTTTTTTTTTGCTATCAAACTCACTATACTTCCTCAAGTAGGCTACAGAACATTTTGGAAGGGCTTCATTCAAGAGAGAGGATAGCTAAGACCTGTTCTTCCAGAGTATTCAGGCTTGTGCTCATATCAGACTGATGTATGATGCACAGAAAGGATCTTCTTGCCCTTGTGGTCCCACTTTAGGGTTCAAAGATGTGAGCAGCATACTCTGCTGCAGCGTGTCAGTTTGCTTGCATTCTTTGCCAGCCTGTAGAGTAGCCACGTGTTGGAAAAAGGCTTCAGAAAAAATTGCTAAAGAATCCACCACATCACCCATAAAGCAGCTCCCACTTTGGCCTTGCATCTGCTTGACCACTCCTAGTCTATGGCTTAGCTGGTCATGACCACTTCTCTTTTGTGCAGTTTTGAGTCTGACAGAGCTTTCAGACTGGGCTGAAGATTAGCTGTCATCTTCCAATCACTTCATTTTGAATGCACATTACTAGCAAGCTTCAACAGCCGTCACAGGTCAGCAAGCCAGTAATGTTTGCCTGTGATCTCTAAGTCTTCCTTCTAGCATCATCTCTTGTGGCCTACCACCATGCTTTGAGGTTCCACCATGGCCAACATTCTCCACTCCCTTCTCCCAAAGCCCATAACATTGAACCTTTCTTTCCTTAGAGGACTCTGAGTTTCCAGCCATGTTTTCCTTGGAGACAAAAGTTCCACTTGAGAGGGATGGCAGACATGTCTAGTGCTCTCACTCTTTTGAGGAAGCCTGATCCTTCAACGCACAATTTTTTTCTGAAGGTAGTGTAGTCATTAGAGACAAGGGTTCTTAAAATCCCAGTTAATTTAATATTTTTAAAGTGTCAGTGTGAAAAGAAGACTTTTCTTGTCCCATGGAAGACAGGAATGTTTGAGCAGCCCAATCGCTTTATGAAGGTTAGCAATCTGATCTGCAGAGGGACACTGCCATGTCCTCTGAAGTTCAGCAACTGGTTCATCTCCAAGGGCTGAGCTTCAAAGAGAACTGTGATGTTTTCCCTCCAGCCCAGCTTCAGCACTTCAGAGAAAACTAGAATGCTTTAAAGTTTAACTGCAATTAAAGAGATGAGCAATGAAAAACTACAGAGCAAAGGTAAGGGCATGGAAACTGTGGGCTCAGTGCCACCAAATACCCGCACTGAATGTGCAATGTAACAGCTCGCTGTATTTGCGTTTATGCTTACAGCTCACATACTTTCACACTTTGGTAGGAAGGGAAAGTGACACAGGAAAAGGGAAAAATCCATTTCTGATGAAACTCAGAAACTAACTGACTTTAGCATTCTTAAACCAGAAACTGATGGGGTCCAGTATCTCTCTAAGTCTTCCAATGTCAGCCAGGACACACATCTTCTAGGTCTTTCTAGGAGTGCCCTTAAAAGGCATAAAGTGAAGCTGTTACACACCTGAATAGTCTCAGTGACTTTAAGCTTAAATGCCTTGCTATCTCAGAGAGCAACTGCACAGGCTTTCATCAGCCCTGCATTTCTTACAAATGGCTCAGTACCTGAGATTCAGTTTCTTACGTAACTATGAAACTTAAAGCAATTAACTGAGATGACATGGTGATAAGATCAGTGCTGTTTTATCTATGTACTGAGTGCTAGCTAGAAATACAGCACCATTAGAAAAGTAAACAAACCAATCAGGGGGAAAAAAAAGAGAAAAAGGAAAAGGGAGAGGATAAGGAAGGCTTGACTTGACTAGGATGTGAAAATAACAATTGTCTTATCTTAGCGTCCTAGAAGCCTGACCTGAGGTTACCATCTGCCACATTAGGTGGCTGCAGAACTAACATGAACACCCCCTCAAAATGAGATCTGGGGTTACTCAATGAAACATAAGGCTTTTACGTCAGGAACGGCTGAAGCCCAGACAAAGAAAAAGTCTCTCACTACTTCATCCTCTTTGGTTAATATACTACAAAGAAAAAACAGTTACAATGAATGTCACGGCACTGCTGGATGGAATCAGAGATTTTGGACCAGGCAGCATATAATGGGAGGTACAAGAGAAGCACTACTGCTGCCTCAGACTTATAGGGAAAGGAATGTGCTTCTTCACATCTCCCACTTGCAGATCTCAGACCCTTGAGGATGCTAGTGAATGAGGTACTGCAAAACCTCAGTGAGCAGGATGTGATTATGATCCCTGCTTCAAAATGGAGGAATGATGCAGAGAAGTTAAATGGTTTGTTCAACATCTCACACAAAAATCACTTGCAGAACTGGATTAGAACTTAATGAGTTCTTTTGTTCTCTTCCCTCTCCTCTCCATTGCCTTCCACTATGTCTTTATGGTACTGGCAATCACAGATGCAGAGCTTAAAACAGTAGCAACAGCTGGCAGTCTCATTGTAGGAAAGCTTCCCACACTGTTCATCCAATGTAAAACCACTTTGAAAGCAGGTACAAAAAAAAAAAGGTGCCCTGTCTCTCCTCCCTACAGTTAACAGTGATTTATCTAGTGGCAGGATTAGGTATAAAGTATCAAATTTCAGTACGCTGCTGCAAATAGATTGATTCATTTTTTAAGTATAAAGGACTAAATATAGGGATTTATAAAGCAGTAAAGGACTGTTTATAAAGAGAAAATAATTTGTTTTCTCATAGCAAAGGGAGACTTTCTGCACAGCCCTGTAAAAATTAGGGAGAATAAAACAAACAGATTATATTGTCTGCTTGTCTAATGTACAAGACTAAATGATTCTGAAGAGTATTTATAATTTTGGAAGGAATGTTTGCTCTTGAAATTCTAAATGTGGTTTCTAAAATGATGCATTGTTCATCTGATGGTGTCTTTATTTGTTTCTATTAGATTAGGGAGCTGCATTTGTGTTTTTCCTAGAAGTGTATCATCTTGACGCACCCAGAATTTGTTTGTGCTTGGTGTTTACCATGGAAAATCCATATAAATATATAAAGATTATCTACTGATATACTCTCACCAGAGTAATTCTCCTGCTTTGTGCCTTTTTAATGCCCTTGATTATCCCTATTTTCATGCCCACTGTATGTCCCCATGTCACTGCTCTTGAATATATGTTTGACATAAAACATTACACTATTGTCCCTCCTACCCTTCCCATCTTTCTAGGATTGTATCCTTCTGTAATATCATTGCACTCAGGTGGTGTATTCCAACAGTATTGATAATGTCGTCAATAAATCATCACTGTATTTAGAGCTGAGTGAATAATGGAAAAATTTGTATTTTACTGGAGAACATCAGAGGTAAAAGTTTTGCTTTAATTCCAGAATATTCTCTCCTGCAGTAAGACATGAGCGGGCCTAAAATACTGCTTTGGAGGCTTGTGCTAGGGCCTTCCACATGAGGGTGAACTTCACCCACGGAGGGGAAAAATCATGAAGAAAATGATGAATAATTAAAAAGCACAGATAAATCTAAGACTACTGCAACCTACTTGCCAATATTTTAGGAACAGGAAAGAAGGCAAAATCCGATTAATACATTATTCATTATGACTTATTCCTCAGCTCTGTGCTTTACACATAGACCCATGTACAAATTGCAGGAGACATTCCAGGTAACATTTGCTTCCATGAAAAATTGTATTTTAGTTCTGCTGCAGAATGAAGGTAAATAAAACTAGTCCTACTGCTGGTTGGTTCCAACATTACACCTCTGCCAGAAGCTTTAGGAATATTTGAGTACTCCAATAGCTCAAGCTTCCTAAAATATTAATGATATTCTCTCAGCGTTTGCCTTTCTATTACAGAATTCTCTTAGCTAGATTATATATTTTGTGTAAGAATGGAGAAATGTCTTGAAAAAACAATGACCTCTCCAGGATGCTATGTTGAAGCTTACGCTTTTATAGCTATTGGTATGTTGCCCTGGGTGTATCTGATTACCCAATGCCTGAAACAGCTACTGGTTTCCTCAGAAACCAGGCCTGGGACTCAGTGATGATAGCTTTCAGACCCAAAGATCCAGGAAAAACAGTCACCAGACCAGAGATCCCCCCTATTTCTGAAAGGGCAAAGATGCCTTTCTTGCTGGAAACTCTTTAGCTGGAACATTTTTCCCTCTTCTATGATCACAAGTCCAGACCACCTTTGTTTTCTTTTTTTAATAGTTGTAGGCTTGCTTTGGCATCTCTCTCTGAGACTGTAAACTGATTTTCTGACTCTGCCATCTGACCCTGAAAACCATCCACCCTGCCAGAGAGTGGAGGCTCAGAAGCTTTAAGGATAAATCTTGTATGATGCACAAATCCAAGTCTGTTGTTTTTTCTGCCTCTCAGCTCTGCCATCTTGACTGTCTTCCAGTTTTGGTCTTGTTTTTCTCACGCGCAGTGTTTTTTTATCTCAAATTTGTCAGAAATTTCCTTTGGGGGAGTTTATAGCAATTCTAGGGACATTTTCATAGCTGAGCTTGCAGAAAACGCACTCTTTCACCACCTCAGCCAAGCTTTTTATAAGGTGCTGACTGGTGCCCACATGGGAAAAAGCAGACCCTGTGCTGCTTCGGGTGAACACTTGGATAGATTTGTTCCAAGAGCTCCCATCTAGGTAAGCTGGGAGCTGATCTCTTCTACAACCTACCCTCAAGCTGAAAAACTCCTGTCAAACCAAGCCGGTGTTTTGGAGGTACCTGACTGCAGAAAGCAGTGACTGACACCCCTGTGCCTTTATGCAGAGGGAGAGGAGAAAGAAGGACAAGGGAAAAGAGGGGACACTGCGGTCTGGAAAAGCCTGGTTTCTTGATAAAGCTGCTGCTTCATACTGGACTTCTCTGAAGGAGAAGGGCTGGCAACATCCGTTGCCTATAGCTGCTGGTGTTGACACTATCTCCCACTCAGGCCGCTGTTGAGTCTATTGGAGTTGGCATGGGCTCCTCAGTCAAATGGTTTTTTGGCTCAAAGCAGTCTTTCAGGCTTCTCTCTCTTACCATAAAGCAACAGAAAAGATCACAAGGCTATCTACTGTTTTGTTTTCACTTTGTCTTTTGCAGGGAACCGTAAGAGCCCATGCTCAGCTCGCATTATCCTTCCAGATTTCAGTTGAACAATCTGCATGGTATCAAGTGTCTCCAGCCCCCTATGCCAGACTCCTCACCAACACTTACCACTCACATCAGGGATATCCAGTCTGTACAGCCCTCCCCATCCTGCCACAGACTTCAGAGGATGAGGACTGTCAACCTAGCAGTCTCACTACCCAATTAGCAGTACAAAAAGTAAAAAAAAACAGGGATGTGAGTGACTTGCACCTATATATGTTATGCATTGAGCAGTAGCCCTCCTTCATTCCCAAAGAAGCACAAAAGTACCTTGTGATTTTAAATATTCTCAGGAGTCGAACACATCTCAACACCGAAATGCCCAGTGGTGACATGATCTTTGTCTCAACGAGAATTGTTTCCAGGATTCCTCCACATACAATGAAACAGTCAAAGCGGTTGAAGAGGGACACAAAATAGGCCTGGAGACCAAGGCTGTACATCTTCAGCAGCATCTCTGCCGTGAAAAGAGCTAGCAGCACCTTATTGGCAGTGTCTCATGAAAAACAAACAGAAATAGATTAATGAAACTTAGTCAAAAGGTCATCACAGCTAACCATCGGCCCTTGCCTATAAGAAACCCCTTCTGGGATCAGTCTGAAAGGTTAACTTCATATAAGCTTGGGTCAAAGAACAGACTTCAAAAGCGTGGGCATCTCATTCACAGAAACGTTTTACAAATAAGCTTACAGCAATTCTTATGTATTGCATGTACAGCTGTGATGTATTACACAACCACACAACCTCCATGGCAGGGACATGCCTTCCTGTGCACAACCTCCCATCACATTTGTCATCTGCAGATGAGAGTGGGAATAGAAGAGCTGCTGTGCTACCTACTGTTGCTTAATTAAGCCTTTCAGCTGCTCTCACCTTCAGTAAGGATTCAACTGTTCTGCAGACAGAAGAACTTTACAAATCACCTCCCTGGTAACTAGAATTTATCATAAATGCCATTTCAGGGAAAACCTTGGAGAACCTGTGGCTCCCAGTACCTATCCATAAATTGGAAATGCAGTTGCTGCAAATATATATTTAGCATAAGCTCCTGATTTCACGTACACCCAGTGGAACACTGCTTCGGCTGGAAATGAGGAACTTACATTTTCCCTGAAACTTCCCCCATTGTAGGCAGATATTCTGTTGTGTTACTTAAGATCCTTCACAGACAGAGGACTATTTGGAGCTGTATATGCTCCTGTTACATTTGTGTGGTCTAACGCATCAGCTCCTTCCTCAGCCCCCTTTTTTGACACTGACTACAATAAACAGAACCATCAGCTTCTCCTCACCTTGGACCTCTGTGAGCCAGTCTGGCTGGTTGTAGTGTTCAGAGGCAATGGTGAGGGTGTTGAGAAACACAAGGAAGATCACCAACCAGTAGAAAACATTGGACTTGACAGCAGCGCGGCACTTTCTTCTGCAGAATCGATTCCATCGGCGCCAGTAGCGACTTGAAAAATTGGAAAAGGAAAACTACTTTTTAGATAGGGATCCTTAGGCTATTGCAAATCTCTGTCAAGAGAGACTCTAGTCTTGATTTATTGTTCAAGAGTGGTAGAGAATAACTTTAAAGTTCACCCTGAGAAATGTTCTCTCATTCTCATCTGACTCAACAGTTGTGATCATCCTTCCTTTAGCTATAGGAATAAAGTTAGTCTTAAGGCAATTTGCAACATTCAGGGGTGAACAAACCTCTTCAAGCAACGTCTTAATCTGATGAAGACATCCATCGCAGCTACCCTGAGAGTTTTTTTAGCCCAGTTCCTACAAAAATAATTATTCTTCCTGTATTTAATGCTTGTGGCCTGCAATGGGACCTTGCCCAGCCTCAGGATAGTCAATGAAAAGATACCCACTATATACCATGGACCTTTGTATTAAGTCCTTGGAGATGTGAGGTCAGATAAAAAACATGGAACATTTCCAACATTCAGCAATGTTCAGGAGCAAGCCCAATATGAGCGCTAACTCTGAACAGAAAAACAAAACTTAGGGAACCTCAGCATCTCACCTTCATGCCTGGAACTAAGGATACCATTTGCGAATCAACAGACCTTTTAAAGTTTGCCTTCCATGAACATATCCCCTTGTGTCACTGATTTCAGAGGGTAATTACTAACCACAGAAGATATTTAAAGCTAATTACACACCTCCTACTCTTCAGAATTTAACTTGCATAGCAACCAGTTTCCAGGCAACACTTGCTACTGTATAATAAATCTAATAGTTTTATATAGATATTACATACATATGTGTGTGCATGCGTCTCTAAAGAGACACACACATATATAACATTACAGGAAGAGAGAACTTTTCTTGGCTAGTCTTTTCTTATGTATTATTTCCAGTGATAAGCTATGGCTGTGAGGTCAGGGTTCAGCACCTATATGAGCTAAAGCCAGGCACACTGGCCAAGAATTTTGCAACAACATTTTAACAGGTAATCAAACCCAGGCTGGTTTAGCTATGCAATTTATAAAGGCACCCAGTCGAGCTAGCACAGACATTTAATAAGAGTTGTGTGTTTTGTAGCGGTTTTGGGACAAGAAATGATCTTCCCAACTTTCAAAATGGACACACCACATAGACATTCATGTTGCTGTTAAATCATTAGCAATCCCACACACTTTCGTTTGTACTTGTGCACAAATGTGCATGCATGTGAGCATGTGATGACACAAGTGTTTTTTTGTGCTTATACCTACATACAAATAAATCCACCGATTGTAGGAATGTGATCATGTATGCAACTCTGCACAGGGATGCATATAGGCAGTCTGTACGCATATGTGAATTCCTGAATTTACATCACTGTTCATTATTTAGGTAAGCTGAAGGACAGAGTTGCTCACTTGCTCCAGTTATTCTGAAAATTAATTTAGTTTTTTTTATAAAATTGACTTTGAATTCAGAGTTATGGAGGCAGCTGGGTTCCTACTGAAGAGGTAGAAATGGACTGGGACTTCAACAGCCAAGTTCCATGAGTTCATTCAGCCTTTCCAGTTGAAACCCATAGATGACCACCTGGGAATTGCTTCACATATTCACAAGCTTTAAGTCAACAGAGAAACAAATACTGCCAGATTACTCCACATGTCCCATGGTGAAAGGGAGAATTTCACAAATAAGATGCAAACCTCATCAGTTGAAAGATTTACAATCAAGTAAAGCAGAGTAGTACAACAAAGTGTAGGAAAGAGAACCTTGAGCTGACAGGGTTGATGTTAATGGCTGTAGTATAATTCTGTGGTTGAACTTTTTTTTTCTTCTGCTTTTATATTTTATGGCTCGAGATATGCAGGTAGCAGTCAGATAGGTACTTCTGAGTGAAATATTGTCAGTAGTCCCTGTGCCTTATTTCAGTATGAAACTAAGAAAAAGGATCTTGATTTTTGGTAGGTGACTGACTAAAATCTGACAAGTTTGGCAGTATCTCCTAGAATCACCACTGTGTCCCATAGATGCAGGAGTAAACCACTTCACAAAGTAAAGAACAAAACCAGTGGAAAGGAGGAAAAGCGAAAGTCAATTTTACTTACCTAAACTTTGATTTTGAGATCCGATGCCTGAAAGATAAGAATTGCCATTAAGTCTCTGAAGCTGTCCCATACCTCCCAGGCTTTTATGAAAATAGCAATAGAAAGAAACAAAGTTAAGCTCAATTAATTTTTTAACGGATGCTGTTTTCCTCTTGAATCCCCTCCCCTGTAAGTCAATGTAGGCACTGGGCATAGCTAGAATTCCCTGATATACAAATCTTGTTTTTTGGTGGGAGTCATGAAGCAGGAGTCATGCATTGATGGGATTCCACCACCTACAGACATCAGTGAACTAGCTTTTCTTTTGGGTAAAAGGCTGGCCTAATGCTAGGAGCACTCTACATCTGCTACCAAATTTATTTTTCAAGTATGACTCTTTTTTTCTTTTAGTCACTAGTTTTTTTTCTTATATTAAAATATGTATGACTTTACACAGACAGACTTGTTGCTTTCACACATCACCTGTCACTTCAGGATATATAAGCACATTATGAAACCATGGGGAAAATAATGCTTTCTTTTTTTCCAGCAATTGAAGGAAAACCAGTGCATGGTGGATATTTTCAAATGTAGATACTAACACTTATTTGTCTTTGTTATCTATGTAAATTGGTTTGAATTCAAAAGGGTCTGAACAATAATGGATTCTGTTGCTATCAATTAAATTTGGGGAATTAAGCATTCCTGAAAATTTGGCCATGTTCCCACTATATACGTGTTTAAATATCTAATTCCATGCACTTGGATTTATTCACCTAAGTAATCTCATTAGCCTTTTATGAGAAGTCACAGGCAAAACTAGAGATAGACCCCAGTTCTCTAACCACTACCTTGCTCTGCTTGACACATGTCCTGTAAGGCCTTTGAACTCTTTGGCTGTCTTTTGGTACCTACGTAATGGTGCACAGAGAGAAATAAAGTTATGTGGATGCAATGACATGAGTCAGAGGTGATTTAGGAAGCTGCAAAATCCACTACCAATAACAGAAGAAATGAGAATCTGGGGAGTAACTATGAACAAGATATTTCTGCTGGGTTGAAGCATTTCTTAAGGTTCCCTCTATGATAGGAAAGTGATTCATTGTTGACAACAGTCAGCAAAGGTCTTGCTGTACCGGCTTAAAAATGGATTCACTGTTAGCAGACAGGGGACAAAGTAATTCTCAAAGCATCTAACGCTACTTTCTGTAGCAGCCTTAAAAATGGTCATATCTCTGTTCGAGGACATCAGTCACTGACAAGTAATCAGTGATGGGTCAGTTTTCTTATGTGGAAGAGATTTTAGTGATAGGAACATTTCACCAGCAGATGGTCCAAGCCAAAAAAAAAAGCCTTTGCACTGAATACATCATTCCTGCTGTGTCACAGGCAGCTTGTCTAGGCCACATACTAGGCAGCAGTGTGGTTACAGACACACATTCAAGAACTCTTTTGATAAAGAAGAAATAATGCACTGGCTGAACAGAATGCTAAATTATGCTGCAGAGACAAAGCAAGCTTTAACAAGGATGACGAGCGAAGCACCTACAAAGCACATCCTTAATGTTAAAGCTATCCCAACTTCACACTGAGAATTCTTGCTTGAGAATCGCTACCTACAAACTGTAATGCATCAGGGTTACAGGCAACAGGGAAGAAGGCTCAGACAAAGACAGGGGAAAGAAAAAGAAACAAAAGTCACAGTGAAGGAGAAAGCTGGGCACTGAAAAGGAGATGGCGAGGACTTTCATAAGAAACGGCTGGGGGGGGAGAGAAAAAGAGAGATGTCATGGGGAACCTGCCTGGTGCAAGGTGAAGGACAGGGAGTGTGAAGCCCTCTGGTGACCTCTCTGGCTAATGGTTTCCCAGTAAGGGAGTTGTGTGGCATTTAAGGAATCTTTCATTTATTTAAGCAAAAGAGATGTGGCAGGTGTAGTACTCATACGCATGTGATAATTATATCCTTGGAGCATTATGAGCAGCAGCCAAGTGCATTCAGTGCTCCCACAGGTTAGCTACAGCCTTCCCCCCCCACCCCCCCTTGTCTTAGTGCTATGGCAGAAGGCTTTATCACATGTGGGTGTGCTATATATATAGAACAGGACAAGGAAGGGGGAAGAGATATATATTTAGAGGCAGAATCCAAGAGTGAAATGGAATTTTGGAAACACAAGCGGTACAATAACTGATTCTGAAAACATTATGCCCAAATCTGAACCACATTTTTCAAATGACCCTTATGATCAAGAATCTTTTGTCTTTCAGAACCAGGGTTAACTATGTCATATAAAAAAATGCTTTTATGGTGTCAGTAGGGGCTGTCAAATAGTCTGGATTTGGAGCCTTGTCATGGCCTCTTTCTGGCACTCCAAACTGGCAGTTGCCAGGGGTTCAGGGTGGACCAGATTCTCTGCTGAGTTTAAACATGGATCTCTTGCATCCCTGGTATCCTGGGAGCTTTATGTCATTGGGAGAAAGAGAGTGTCCCCATCTGTGTCCAGCTCTGGAATGTCTTGAGAACTATTGTTTAAAATCATATAGGAGTCTATATAAAAACCATTTCAGATCACTACTGAGTGTTTTTATCATAGGAACCATGTAACTCAGATTATCTTTTATAAAGACAAACACAAAAATCAGACCTCTACTGTTTGACTAGCTATCTTTTAAATTCTCTAAAACTCTTCTAACCTTACATAGTTATGTACCACATACAGATAAGACAGTGAAATTTAAAGATTTTATCAACATAAACTCAGGATAATCAGTGTAATTTAAATGTAGTGAGATACGCCACATCCTAAGAGATAAAGTCTTAATTTCTCTGTTCATAGTGGACACCAGAGGAGAGAAACTATGCACTTGTGAAGGATATGACACTCTTGTATAACAGGGATTGAGGGCTTTGTGTAACTGTACACACAACAAACAATTCTGGAAAAATCTTTTAGGTCTCCAAGCATGACACAAAGGCCATGTTACAGTTGTTTTCTGGGTGTAGAAATTACTAAACATGATGATGAAAATTATCTGGCATGTGTGTCACAACTACTTCTACACCATAGGATCCTACCTATAGGTAACCATCTTCATGAAAACTTAAAAAAGCCCTTGGATACTAGTAAAAGCTCTCAGAAAAGCAGTAACACAGAAATTTACTTACTATGCCTCTAGGTTATACACAATTTTGGGGAACATCCAAAGAGCTGCACTGTGCATATCTTACAGATTTTAGAACTGTGAGAACACAGTCCTGGTGTGATATTGATTCTGTTTTGGTGCAATATGGTGCATTCATGCAGTTACTGGTCAAGTGGCACAACATTTTTCCCTCTCTCTATTCCTGCTGATGACATTTCATTGCTTCTAGTCAGAACGCTGGCATCCCTGAACAGAAGATGCCCACCCTTGGGTCCTTTTTTCACATATTACTGGGACAAAAGCATATAGTGAGATGACATTTTCAGGAATGCATGCTGCATACCTGATAATCTCTCAGCCTAATAAAGTGTTAGGGCTAAGTTCTACCCTCAGCTATGCCTCTGCGATTCACACTGAAGCAACAGGCCTCCATCCGTCTGCCTGCTATCCTCTGTACAATGCAGTTAACACTGGGGAGTTGTACAGGAACACTCAATGACCATTTCTTATTTCTGACCATTAATTAAAAGCTTCCAGCAAAACAGAACATATGAATGACCCTTGATAACTTGCATTCTGATGTCTGTGGATGGAGATCCTCCTGCTGAGGCAATCACTGAATTTCAGCAGAGTCCACACAGCGATGCCTCTCCTCTTTTTTTACATTTTTGCCCTTCTTGCAGAAGCACTAGAAAGCATGCCAACCTGATGGGAGCGATGCTGGTTTTAAGAGCGAGGTGGTTGTTGGCCAGCAGCAGTAAGAATCTGTGGAACATCCTTAAGAAAACTGGATCTGTCTAGCTTAAAATTGAACTGGTTTGCTATTCAACAGGCTTTCTTACAGGCTGGGAGAATAGGCCAGCACTTCAGCATTTAGTGAATATCCTTACTCTCCCTGTGGCAAGTCAGAGGCAAGGCCTGTCACAGAACCTGAAGTAGGAAGATAATTCCTCCTCCACAAGGTCATGCTATTGTCCTTTAGACACATATCTAGAGCTGACTGTGAATATCAAAAACACCTTGCTCATAATAAATTGGAGAGCAGTAGCTGAGCCTGACACATAAGGGTTGATCCTGTGTGTTTTCCTGCTGAAGTCAGCAGTGGTTTCAGAGCTTTTGGCAGACTTTTCTTACTACTGCTTCTGATGTGATGGGGACTTTGGTCCTCACAGAAGGCTATCTTCTCATTAGGTGAAAACCAGCAGCTATAGCAAACCTGCAAGCAAACTGACTCTTGCCTTTACCACTAGCTCCTACGCTGATTATTTCAAGAACTGCATAGGAATTATTTTCCCAGCCAGCAAAACACCAAGGGAAAATCATTGATAGTTCAGCTGCCAGGGAAAGCTTCCATTGTTCATAATGTTTTCAGGACACACGGTTTTCAGTTGGAAAGCTAGTGTAGGTTGTTCATTTTGTTTTATCCTGTTTTATTGTTTTAACCCTCTTTGGTGGAAAAGCAATTGAACTGTCCCCCCCAAAGGTATAGAAATCCTGGCAAAGGTGAAAATGCCAAGTGGCTTATTGTTTCAATGAAAGCAGATAATTTTAAGCTCTCTTCCCCTTTGAGCTCAAGTGCTTCACTTTTCTATTGAGACTCTATGGAACATTAACTTCCACAAAGGTCTTTTTTTTTAGCTAATACATATGCATAGAAGCAAGCTCTATTGTGGCACTCCAGATCTGTATGGTTGTACTAGAAAATTAACATTCTGGTGGTATTGGAAGATTATATATGCTGACATCCCGCACAGAACAGATTACTACTGATTATGAGCAATAGCCTGTCCTCAGGAATCTATGTCCTGCACAGCAGTAACCACAGAGGCTCAGGGAAATTACTCGCTATTGGGAAGTCCTGGGTATAAGGCTATCCTGAAATAGAAACCCATTGCTCCTAGTGCTGGGTTTATCCCACTGATATTTGCTGCAGAGGAAACATGTTTCTTTGTACCCAGAGGCAACAGGTTATTAAAGCTGTGACCCATCAGAAGTAAGATGTTCCGCTTTCAAATGTTGTCCTTGAGGATAAAAGCTGTTGTGTTTCTACTGCAGGGCACATGTCAGGGCAGTGCAAGGCAATACCATGACAGGGATGATATACTGTGGAAGTTGTGGGATGCTTTTCAATGTCCTGTGGAACCGTACAAACCTTTTTCAAATTCAGATGCCTGAAAAAGCTAACACCCATCTTAAGAAGGGAATTACTCCCTGCCACAGCTCTCCTGATGGCATCAGAATTACACCAGGAATGAATATGAATGGGGGGGAGGTTGTTTGTTTTAGTTCTAAGAAACTGGATTTACACAATAAGCAAAGAGATATTAGATGTTAGATTCTTCCTGAAACTCCTTCTGCTGGTTTGAAGACTGGCATTGCTCCAGACAGCGCAGCTGATGAAGGCAGTTTCTATAGTATGGATACTATAGAAATAAAAGCTTCTTTGAGACAATTCATCAGTAGGAGATAGCTTGTGTTTGAGAGGTACTCTCCTGATCTCACATAGCATATGTCTCTGTGGAGCTGAGAAAGGCTGTCAGGGAAGATCTCCTTTTCCAAAAGGCACACTTGAGCCTGGCTTCTCAAGCAGATCTTTCTGTCATTCACAGGCTCAGCCTTTCAAAGCTCTACAGCTTTTTATAAGAACAGAAAGAACAACCAGTAATTCTAAGTTATATTCAATAAAAATGCTTTTTCTTTCAGTCTCCTGGGTACCTTTTTTCCTTTTATCATGAGCGCATTCTGATGGCTAGCTCAGCCTGTAACCATGGTGGTGGTGCTGGGGTGGTTAAATGCCCTAGCAGTCTGATGCCACTAAATAAATAAATACATTAGCTTTGACTTGCAATCTTCCCTGTTGCTTCAGTCATGTCTGATTGCAGCTTGCCCAGCGCAGTCTCTGCCCTCTGAGAAAAAATGTGTATAGCAAGGCAATGGGGACTCCTGGCCACTAGGTGATTTTAGCTGGCTGGTAAAAATGAAGACTCATCTGAAACTCAACAATCAAACAAAAAACTTGTTTAGCCATTTCAACTGTAAAAACAAAATCTGGAGGGCAGATGACTGCTCAAAAGTCTGGGCCTAATCTTCAACTAGAGTAAATCAGGATGGCATGACTATAATTATTAATGCTTACTCAAAGTCACTAGTACTAGATGAGGAACTTATTTGAAAAGCTCAACTGACTTCCCACATGAATTATCTCTATTCCTGAACACTGGGCCAAATTCTGATTCTCTTAGTCAGGTTTCAATAAAAGAAAATACTCATTCAAACAAATTCTTGCTTACATTTTATATGTTCCAGCAGGAATGTTGGCCTATGGGGGGTTTCAATTAGGGCTCAGTGAAAAGAAGAGGACTTAATACTTCTAGAAACCAGGAAAGCTGCCTGAGTGTGTGATGCAGTAACAAAACAAACTAGAAAGGATTCCAAGCCTCAGAATCAAAGGCAGATCTGAATTTACCCATAGCTAGGGAACCTGCAGCTCCACAAATTTGAAACAAACATTTTACAAAAGCAGGAACCATTGGCAAAATTTGTGTCTCACTCCAGAATTTCAAATACAATGATACAGCCATTCATTTTCCTGGATGAAGGAGCCTATCCATCTCTTAGAGATGAAAAGCAATCTGAGTGAGGCCTTGAGGATCCTAACTGTCCTTGGGTAAGAGGTAAAAAAACCCCTCTCAATAACAGACTTCAATTCCTTTACTATACATCACGCATTTTCAAATGAAGTGGAAAGTGGCAAGGAAACTCTTTATCTCCCCGAATCTTACATGTCCTGCTCTGGTGAAATTTAGGGCGCTGTTTTAACATTTACAACGTGGGAAGAAGAAATGAAGCTCTGTTTTCCTGTCATTTCCCTATGTCTTCTTCCCTAAAATGTGTTGGACGTAGCCATCCCTTCTCCTAATGCTAGGAGTATAGTGATCACCATGCCAGATCACACTACTGCCATTCTTATGGGGGAACTTTGGACCATTTTAAGTAAACTCCATTCTAAGTCATGATTACATTTAGGGTTGGGTTTAACTTCAGCTCTCCTGGCCACATTACAGCTAAGATAATTATGTTCTGCTTGCCAAAATTCCCAATGCAGTTTCAGTGCAAAACAAGCTATCCCTCACACATCTTCTAACACACTTGTGCCCTTTGTTTTTAAACACCGGTCACATTTTACTCTGAAGGTGGCTGAACTCTAATGCTGTGAAAACAATCCCTCACTTTACAGTTCATAAAGTGCCTTAGGATCCTTTGGGATTAAGGACATGAAACGAATGCAAGCTATAATATTAAAAATATATGCAACTTTATAGTAACAGTTGCTATTGTTGTTGGCACTGTGTAGCACCAGGGAATCCATTGTGTTGGGAACCATAACTGCAGAATAGAGATGGTTCTCCAAATTGGATCCAGCTGGAAGAAGTGGTCACATATCCAGCTGCTGCTTCCTATAATGCAACAAGAGCACAAGCAAGTTGTTGGGGTGCTAAAGGAAGGGCTACAGCTGCCTCAGCACCATGAATAGGTCTAGCCTGGTTCCTTCAGAAAAGAGTTCATAATTTAAACTAAAAGACTCAGCACGTAGGCAACAGCAGGCAGGTGAAGGAAAGCTATCACAAATAATTTCTCCTGGCGTTTGTAAGTTGCTGGCTGACACAGGAAAGCAGATTGAATTTACAACATATTCCACATATCACATCTTGTAATGCAGATAAGATCTCCTCCTCTTCAGTTTGTAGAGGAGATGGCCAAGGGTGTGTGTGGGAGATACAATCAACATTTACAAAGTCATGAAAGTGATAGATAAGCTGAATACGGAACTGTTGATCACCAAATCTCACAGTATTAGAAGGAGAGGACATTGACTGAAAGTAGTAGTAGATCAGCTTAAAACAGATATGAGAAAGTACTTGTCTACACAGCAGGTAGTGAACTTCTGAAACTTGTTGCCACAGGAGATTGTGAGGGCAGACAGCCTTAGTGGGTTCAGATAAATCCATGGATGACAGGTCCATAAATGACCACTAACAGCAAAAAGTAGAAGCATGCCCTCTAACATCTCTAATCCAATAAGCATGAATTTGGGAGCAGTAAAAGGGGACTGGAAAGTAGGAAATGGCCAGGCTTGCATACTTGCCCTCCTGTCACTGTCAGGACCTGAACACTGGGCCAGCTGGACCACAGGTCTGCCAAAACAGAGCAATTCTTATGTACTTACGATGAGCATTTGACCAACACTGAAGGGCTCAAGGTATGCCCAAAGACAGGACAGAGCCTCAAAATACTCCAGCATGGTACAAGCTATAGCACTGATATGCTTAGCCCATTTTTCAAGGAAATTTGGAGGGATTAACGTATTTCCCCCCCCCCCCAGCATAAAGTCCATTCTTTCCAAGTCATGCAAAAAGGAAGAAAAGTCTCCTCTTGCCGATTGTTGCTCTCTTTAGCATCTCTTGATGCTAAAATATATACCCCATAATATGGTATTCCATAAGTGCCATCTCATACATTCTTGAACATCTCCGTTAACTACAATGGTGCAATTTCAAGGAGGCATTACTCCCTCCTAACTGATGAATTTCTTTGTCAGTACAGTATTGTGTTCAGCATTTTAAGAGTGTAATTCAGGCTGCAGGATGGGAGATATCATCCATGTGTTTCTATTACAAGACACTGTAAAGTGTACAAGAATCATTAGAGAAATTAAAATAGACCTATCATTTCCACTTTTTGGTCTACTTATACTGGATTTGATTATCTATCACCAAAGAGGAATTTTAAAATAAGAACACTGTTACCTATGAGTTCTTCTTTTAGCTATTATGCAAACCCAGATCTGCTTATCCTGGGCATTCTGTGCTTTATTTACATCTATGTAAACCCAGAGGCTCTCCCCTAATGTCCAGAGTGAGTTTACACTGCAATTAAGATAAGAACCGGGATCAATAGATCTTCTGCACCCTCTCCTTTCACCCACTGTGGAGTTTTCTTCCCCTTAACAAGCCTGACATTTGCCCTGGCTTTAACCCACCAAGCTCAATCCAACCCCTCCATACATATATCTGTGCATATGTACTCACGCTAGCCTAGCACCGCAGTTTTCGCCTTCAATATCTGCTCCAGGGACGTTGTCTGTGTTCACGGACTCGGTCTCACTGGTGGGCATGCTCACTGTAAGAGTCAAAGGGAAGAAAAAGAGAGGGTTTGCCATTAGAACCTGGCACATCTATTAATGAATCACATGAGTGAAGGAACTGCTTTAATGAAAAGACCCTCAAGCTGCAGCTCCTGAGGATCAAGCAACTTGCTTAGCAAGTCTAGTGCCTTCCTGCACAGGCCAGGTTGGGCAGGTAGACTTCAGGAACATACACAGGTTACTCAGATGCTAAAGAAGAGTGAAGAAGCAGCTGCTCTCTTTCTTTCAGAGTCAGTTCCTGGAAATCTTATGAATGACAACCACTGAAAATTAGAGAACCTGGCAAAGCCAACAACAAGCTTTTGTTTGATTCAATGGAACACTTTAAAAAAATGCCCCTTTACTTGCACCAGCCCAACCACCTCACTGCCCTCTCCAATCTTTTGTGCGATGATTAGAATACAAAGTACCAGATTGACATGTATTCAGACAATGGCTTCTGTTAGCCTGATAGCAAGTACCACATAAATAATACCGATTGCTCATTTGTCATACACTAACTGTTAATACATTTCAACCTTACACTTATAAACTGGACCTATAGCGATAAGAGGGGAATTCAGAGACTCTGACCCATTCAGACATTAGCAACCAAGGAGCTAATGAATATGGACTATGGTGGAGATTTTATGTTGACACTGACCAGCTAAGAACTGAACAGAATCTCCTAGGCTTTTACAGAAGTATCGTGGAACAAACATCAAATGAAAGCAACCTTAGCTGTGAACCTATTTCATCTGGATCCAAGGACCTGTCACATATTCTATCTGTTATCAAACCTCAATATTTTATTTGCTTCTACAGGTCATAAAAAAAAAAAGAAATCACCATTTCCATTCCACCAGGTGCTCCCAGCTCCTATATGAGCTCTAATAAGTCCTTAATACATAATCATTCAATATAAGTTAGGGTAACGGACCGGATCCAATATGTGTCCTCTTCCCTCCTCCCCGCTTTTCAAATACTCAAAACAAAAGAAAAAATGATACTTAAAACTGAGTGATGGAGGAGTTAAACAGATCTCTCAGATGCCTGGTAGAACTTCAGAACATGACCTGTATTAGCAGTTGGATATATATCTCAGATGAAACTTGAGAGCATGCACTATTAGCTGTTAGAGAGCCTTCCAATAGCCTTTAAGAATATGTTACTCAATACTAAGAACATATCTATTTGTGGGTCCTTGGAGTAAAAGGAGGCAATGTAGAAAAAATAGGTTCTGCATTTCAATTGGGCAGATGTTTAATGGGCCATGGTACCAGGTCTTCTTTCAAAAGCTAGAAAAATATCAGAAGGTTCTTCCAAAGAGGTCATGGGTTGCTGCTTTGAAAACATTATGGTAGAAATGTCCCTCAAAATGAACTATCTTTCCTTCATCCCACCCCAACAATTCACATGCCTACAACCCATGTCTTAAGAAATCTAAAGTTCTTGTGCTGTGTTCTAAGGACCACATGAAATAATGAACTCTTTAGCACTCTTGACATAAGTATGAAATATTGTACTCTAATGGTGCCTGTTCCTTTACGAAGACTAGATGTTTTAATAATCTTGCCTATTTGGAAAGACAAATTAAATAATCAACTGAATTCATATTTTGATGTACATGAAACAGTCAAGGAAGCTGTAGGAAAAAACAACATTCATAATTAAAATCTTCGGTCCAGACCAAGCTCTTCAGGAAAAAAACCCAAACATTGATATTTCGCAAGTCATCTTTGAAGATGAGGTAAAGCACTTTCAAGACATATTTGAGCTTATTTGCAAATGGAAAACAATTTGGAAGACATTAGCAAGAGATTGATTTGCAGAGCAGCTTATTAGCTTGAGTGCATGAAGAGGACACTGCACAAGCAATAGAAAAAGCAAGGCACGCACATGCAGAAATACACAAAGCTATATTATATGTCAGTCTGTATAGAGATATATAGACATACACACACACGGATACACGTAGTGTGGACACAGAGTGCAGTGGAACATTACCATGGGTTTCTGTGGAGTGACTAAACCAAGCAAACTTTCCTTTCTTCTTATCAGGCAAGCCAGCTGGAGTGCTTCCTTTCACAGACAAGATGGTCAGTGTCAAGTACCAGGAACAAGACATCAATAGAGAACATGCAGCCAGTGACAGGCAAAAGAAAAAAACAAGGAACTCAGCTTACACATGACATCCACGTCTGTCTGAAAACTTCATCATGTGAATTAAAAGTACAAAATGAAAAACAAAGGTATACGGAAGTATGAAATATCATAACAGATCTTCAGAGAATAACACTTCCTTGCCTTCTGCTCTTTTTTATATCTGGCTTCTGAGAACATGAAGCTGCTGAATTTAAGTTTATGGGTCAAATCTTTTTTCCATTGACGTCAATGGCAAAACTGTTCTTGTTTGACTGTCTGACCTATTGAAACTGATGAGACTAAGGCAATCGCAATGTGTCCCCAGGTTATCCCCTGACCCTTAGGGTAAGAATCTGGACTAGCCTATTTTTGAATGAGGTTCCTTGGCTTTCTTCCTAAACGGCTCCAATATCTAGAAACTCTTTCAAAATTGTCAGAGCTGCTAAAGGAAAGTTGTTGGGGTAATCACATTTCTCTGTTCTTCCCCATCTCTAGAGATTAACAACCTTCATCCAGCACTCATACATATACTGCCTTACCCAAACTAGGATACCCCTAGACTATGTCTCATGATCTCCATTTGAGTTTACATGTAGCATTCACCCTCTGATGCCCTCCTGCTGCATGGCTTTTCATGGCATTACTTAATGTTGATCCTCTGCCTGTTGTGCACAGAGCTCCTCAGCCCATGCAGATCAAAGGTGCACGCATAGAGACATCTTAGAGCGTACTTGGCACTTCCCCAATCTTACTGTTGCAAAAAGCCAAATTTAAGTAAAGTGAGGGATGCAGGTGCAGTGGCACACGGGCTGAAGAGACCCCTGTGGTTCAGGCTAGCTTGCTGGCACTAGCTCACAGGCATTTATTACACTGCACTGATGGAAAATGTTAAGGACAATAAAAAGTATTAAGATAGTATCAAGTATTAGAGGAATGACGGCCTAGAAGTCAAAGGTCAGGACAGATGGGAGATTAGGACTGTATTCCCCAATGTGGTATGCTCTCAGCAGGGCAGTCACTTACTTTACCTGACACCTCACATCCCCTTCAATATCAGGGGATAATCATGTGTGCAGATGCTGTGAGGTTTATTCAGGCCAGTTAACAAATCCTGAAAACAGAAGATGTTGCAGAAGAGTTGTGTATAAACTGGACCTGAATATGAGAGGAAGTAGACCAAATACTGCCCAGATGGCTTTGTTATCTGACTCGGTTCTCAGAGACACAGACCTTGTGCCCACACCCTGGCTCCAGTCTAGAAACAAGGCAGGCATTTTTTGCAGTCCGGGTAATTAATTACTGGAACCATGTACCAAGAATGCTGGTGGTAAATCCACCACAGGAATGTTTTAATCAGGAAGAGATGTTTATTTCTAAATGGTGGGCTCTAGTCCAGACCAGAGTTATGTTTAGGACCATCGTATACAGACTATGCCATCTCAGTGGCCGCTTCCTCCCTGTAATTTTGGGAGCTGAGAAAAAGGCAAGAAAGAGGCAAATGCAGATTTCCTCCCACCTGGGCACAAAGTGACTTAGCAGTGGAAATCCTGGTGCCTTGTGTCTTGTGCCATGTGTCAGTGACCTATGCAGTCTTACAGGAGTGGTTCCCTGTCAACTTCAAAAAATTCAGTGCTTGTAACCAAACCAGAGATCTCCAGAGGGCTTTGTTGTGCCAGGCATAGAGGGATCCCACCTCCCCACTTCCTGGCCTTCAAGCAGACCATTAAAGCTTCCATCTACCACATATTTTGCATTGAAGGCACTTCAGTGTCCAAACTGCAGCACAGGCAAGGCAGCGATCGATCCCCATGCATACTATTCAACTGCCCACCTAATACCTAAGGTATTAGGTCAAACAACTAAATATCAATGCTGTATATAGCTGACTTGTTAACAGTAGAGAACACCTCTGTCCCCATGCTTATCCATCCTAAGTGAGAGCAGGCTGTCAAAGGAGTGAGAAGGCATTTCCATTCAGGCAGTTTGCCTTTGCCTGACTACACCAGGAGCAGCAGCATTCCAGCTAACAGGGCAATGAATACACAGAGTGGGCAGCTTGCATCAACCAAACCAGTACAGTGAACCACTGACAACAACACAGGGACAGGTCCCATAGAAGATATTACATATTTCACAGAATTCTGGAATAGTTTGGGTTGGAAGGGACCTTTAAAGATCATCTAGTTCTAACCCCTCTGCCATGGGCAGGGACATCTGTCACTAGCTCAGGTTGTTTAAAGCCCCGTCCAACCTGACCTTGAACACTGGTGCATCCTCAACTTCTCTGAGAAACCTGTTCCAGTGTACCTATTCCAGAAGCAAATCATGGTGGCTTTGCTTTCATGGGAATCTCTTTTTTTGGATTTATCATCACATCCGTAATTCACTCTGGTTGATGAAATCTCCCATTAGTTACATATTCTCTAGGTAGCATAGCATAGCAATTTTTTTAGAGGGAAGTGAAAACTTTTTAAAGGTGTGCAAGTATCTTATGGTTTCAACGGAGTGCAAACCATAAGGACCAGTAGGTTTTCTACTCTACAGTTGCTTCTGAAGCCTTTGTGCTTCTTACATCTTGCCACAGTGTGGCTCATCTCTGAATGTAGACTTTTTCTCCTGGACCACCTAAACTCCGATTTCACATTTCTTATATAGCATTCCTGCAGCAGCTAAAGCAACAACAAAAGCTACGTAGCAGCTTCCTTAAAAAGAACTCTGAAAAATGCTTCATGTTATGTTAATTCTAGCTCTGAGGCCCAACAGACAGAAATAAGGACAAAGAGTCTGCAGTCTGTGACTGGCTAGACAGACAGATGTGCAAGACCCTTTGAGAGCCTCTGTTCCACGTCAC